CGGCTTTTCATGATAAAAACGGTACTGGACGTTCCCCCAGCAGCAAATCTCTTCAAGTTGCAGGCTCATGGCGAACCGAGCGATACGACCACGGAACCATCACTCTGGGACTCCGTTAGCAGGAGCGGCGTAGTTAGTCGATTCCCGTTCCATCGGAGGACAGCACATTTGTTCGCAGACGATGAAGATTTCTTGGAAAATAATGACTATTTCTTTTAGATTTTGTGCATTGAGAACAGCTACCAAATAATGCCGATTTTGTGAGAACAAGGAGCGGATTATGGTGGCGGTGACCAGCAAGATCTTCAAGGAATGACTTGCCTCTCGTGTAATACCCATTTTAGATTAAACGAATGTCAAATGTACGCTTAAAACCAAAAATTGTCAAAAAATCAACTGTCAGACTAAGTATAAGATTCGAAAATATCACATATATTAAAATATTCAATATTTCCACTATCGGTATTGATGCTGATACTTGGAGCTGTCGTTCCCCTAGGCTCGGGCACTTTTCTTGTATTTAACATACATGCTTATATTGGAAATATTCAATTAATACTGTGAATCCCCATACAATCTCAAATCGTTTACTACCAGCTCCATATGCATCTGAAAGCGGTTGGTCCTCTGGTTGTGAATGCTGTCAAAAACACCATAACATTCATTTTATAAAAATCTGTATAAATCTGTATTGTAATTTAAATATCTGTGATAAATCTGTATTCTGTATCGGGTCTGTATTAAGATTAAAAAATCTGTATAATACAGATAAATCCGTATAAATGGCAGCGCTGGTCAAAAATACCTGTTCATACACAGAGAAAAAAAATTACCCTAAATTTAAGTTCTTTTTACTTAATTTTGAGTAATTTTGAGTTTCACATCCCACTCTCACTTTTTGTTGTTGTCAAAAACGAAACGAGAGATTCGACTTTCTCACACACAAGCAACACATATTGTATCAATAAAAATTATGCGTTTTCATATTAAAAGTTTCCAATATTTAGTAGTTTTAACTACGAGAAAATTCAAATAGAAATAGATTTTGTTGGTTTGAAAGTGTTTTTTTCACATCCGAGTTGTAATTTTAAAAGTGAAATTTTCAAAAGAAAAGTTGTACAACTGTCAAAAATGCTTTTTCATATTCATTGACAAGTGAATCCAAAAGGCGCGAAAACAAACACTGAATGTGAAGTTTCAAATTATGCATTTCGATAGTGGTTTTTCATAAAGGCCTAGGTTGCTAAAGTAAATTTTGTAAATGGCTTCTTGCATAAATTAAAATCTATCTATGAAAGCCACCTAATTTATCGGATAGAGCCTGGAATAGAGGGCCTCTTCCTTTACACGATAATGCTGGTGATTAACTTGGGAGAGTTTCCATTCTCATGAAATTTGTGAAAAAGGTCATTGTTTACGTTTACGGCCTCTTATCAAAGATCACTGTTAACTTACCACCGATACGACACTGTGCAGTGGCCGAGGTAGTGGCATCCGGAAGTCAACACCCATCTTTGAACGGCCAGCAAAGGGGACCTGACGCCACCGATTCAATTTTTATTTTTCAGAAGATTCGGTAAATTGAGTAATTGTAGTGTTTTAATTTAATTTATTTTTTCCTGTTTAGCAGCAGCAGCTCCAGAAACAGCCAATACAGCAGAGTCAGCAATTGCTTTCCACAAGATTTCGTGAGGCATTTTTGGCAGCACTTAGCATTGCAGGAGTGGAGGGAGGATGTTTGTCGATATGGCAATAACGGGGTCTGAGCATCACTTCCAGTGGATGGAGTCAGTCTACGCCAGTGATAGGGATTACGAAATGCGCTGCCACGTGAACCAACAGCAGGAGGAATCCTAGATCAATTCATCCATCTTCTTGGTGGCTCAGTATCTTCCGGCTGTACTGCAAGATCCCAGCCGTACTAATCAGATTCATTTTTTCACCAAATAACATTAATGGCTGCTACGGATTGAACTTTTTTTTTTCCTTGATTTGTTTTCCGTCGATCTTGTTTTCCAGGCTTAGCACCAATGCTACCGACGCCAGGGAGGCAATAACCCACACCTGGACCCTACCCATCAACCCATCAACTCATGAACCGGGGACCAACGGCTTTACTTCCCGTGATCAGAGATGTTATGCCTCAGAACATTCCGGTGACCAGTCCAACAGTTCATCCGACAGTGTGAATGCAACATCGGTTTGATACTCCACGCGCGCGCGAATTGTAGAGAGTTTTTATCTTCTCGCACGCGAATTTCGGAACTATTTCAAAATTTTATACTAGTTACCGTACCGTAACCTGTTGATCTAATCGAATGTGATTAAATCCTGTGTTTATCTAAACCGCAGTTGACATATTCCATAATTTTGTTGGTTAAAAAACTTGGTTTCTCTGGGGCACTAACAATGGCCATGGCCATTCGACACTATCATTACTGTTGATAGTTATTGTAGCACAAACGAAGTGACAGACGGAACAGCTCGAAAACTTTGGTGACTAAAGGCCGGCGCACAATAGATACGTTTTCGGGTTTTTTGACAGTTAGCCCATAGAGATTGCTGACGTTTATCGTACGTAGTGTGCGTCACGTATACGTATACGGAAAATGTTTTCATCGGGAAAAAAAACTTCATAGCGGAAAATTTTCCCGATGAAAACAAATCACTCACACAGTCATACTTTAGCAATCTCTATGCATTATCTGTCAAAAAACCCGAAAACGTATCTATTGTGCGCCGGTCTTAACCTGCTATTGCAATTTTTCAGTGTGCCACATGGCAACACCACTACTACTGGATTGTACCACATGGCAACACTACTACTAGATTGAACTAGCATTTTCACCAAATGTACACTCAAAAAATATTGAAATCTAAATAGTATAAAAGCTACGCTAAATCGCAACTCTCCGTACCGACGCAAAGGTCGGTATAAAGGGAGAGAATGCAAACTTAGTATAAAAATGGTTTATGCGTTCCGTAGTATAAAATTGAAATATACTTACAATGCATAGATACGGTTTATTCGAGAGAATGTATTTTTCGCTTCTTAATTTTATATATGGTAAATATTATTGTTTTCAAATCAAAATTAAAATTGTCTCAGGGAGGTTTTTTAATTATTTTATTTTTATGAATATTATTAAAAAATACATACCTTTTCGATGTTCATTAGAATGAACTCGTGCTTACGCAGTCTAGCTGCCCAGCTGATCACATGTGCTGTATAAATCCGCCGGGATGAAGCTCTTCACCAGCACAAAGCTCCGAAGAGAATCCAGATGATCTTTTTGCTATCATTTTAGTAAACACTGATCGAATTCCACTCCGTTATTCGGACTTAGTATAATTTTGACGAAAATTTTAATCGAACCGATGTATAAATTTTGAAAATCCATAAAATGTATAAATTTTAATCTATATTCGTTTTATAATATTTTTGAGTGTACTAGAATGTTTTGGTTCTATCTCTTTCAGTCTACTCAAAACAGAAATGCATAAAAAAATGACAAAATGATACGCACTCTTTGCACACTGTCAAAAAATCATTGTACACAAAATCAACTTTGTTCAAGTCAAAACAAAAAAACTAACCCATCTGGTGGATGATGGCACAAGCTTCCAAGAAAATTCTATTACAGTGAACCACATTATTTAAATGGATTTCTTCGCCAGTTAGTCGTCTGTCACTTCGTTTGTGGTGCAAAGAGTGTATCATTTTGTCATTTTTTTATGCGTTTCAGTTTTGAGTAGAGGGAAACAGATAGAACCAAAACATTCTAATACATTTGGTGAAAATGCTAGTACAATCCAGTAGTAGTGTTGCCAAAAATGACAAAATGATACACTCTTTGCACACGTCAAAGATCATATTGCACACAAAATCAACTACGTTCAAATCAAAACAAAAATACTAGCCCATCTGGTGGCTGATGGCACAAGCTTCTAAGAAAATTCTATTACAGCGAACCACATTGGCAAATCAATGTTGGCACTCGTGGAGAATAGAAGAACTATGAAAGTGATGATGGTTTCAAAATTTTCCACGGGGAAGTATACGAGTGCAATCTTAAAATGCTTTTATTTTGAAAATGGAGCATTTTATTTAAATCTGGTTACTGCTACAGTGGTAGAAAAGCGGAAGTCTTTGTTTACACCTAAAAATCTGAAAAGAAATTATGTTTTCTGTATTATATCTCTATTGAGTAGTCCTGAAGTTTTCTACTAACGTAGCACTACCCGGAAAAAAATAACCATACAATTACCATAAAATAAAATACAGTTACAAGTAAATCTATTGCCAACAATCGATCTTATTGTGTGTATATAGTACACGAAGTTTTAGCATATTGTTATTACAATAGATGTACAATACGTCCCATATAGTAAGAGTTTTCAACAATAGAACAACAATACAATTAATGGTAAATGGTTCAAGTTTGTTCGGGAAAAAGTGATTTTTCGTATGGTTAAGATACATAACGACCCCCTTAATCTATTGTATATTCCCCAATTTACCATAGATTCTATTGTAGAAACAATACATTCTACTGTTATTTTATCGTTGTGGATAATACGATTTATTGTAAATACCATAAACTCTATTGTATGGTTACAATACATTTCATTGTACCTCTACGGTTCTTTTTTTTACGGGTAACCAGATTTAAATAAAATGCTCCATTCACAAAATAAAAGCATTTTAAGATTGCACTCGTATACTTCCCCGTGGAAAATTTTGAAACCATCATCACTTTCATAGTTCTTCTATTCTCCACGAGATCCAACTTTGATTTGCCAATTATTTTAATTGATTTCTTCGCGAGTTAGTCGTCTGTCACTTCGTTTGTGGTTACAACTTTATCACACAAACGTTCATGTAAAGTTCCATAATCATTTCAGTTAAAGTTTAGGAGGGATTATAAACAATTTATAATTATTATCGGTAAGGTCGTTTATGCGGCCGAACGGATTCATGTTGATGTTGTCCATTTGTCAACTTGTCTCTTCCAACATAGTTTACCCATTTTTGGGTAGGTTCAGTTTTGGCCGATCTGGGTGTATTCTACCCAAATTTGGGTAGTTTTGAAATAGCGTGTAGAGTGTGTATCGAGAAAAAAAAAATGTGAACTCAAACGTAAATAAACAAGCGACTAGATTAGAAAGAGAAGCTGGCTTGTGAAAATCCCAACTCACCGCGAACTTAAAATTTAAAATTGATTGAAAAGTGTTTTATCGAGTGCTCCGCATCATTGTTGTATTATCACCCAAGAGCACATACTAGACAATAATTATTATTATCAGTAAACAAATGGATTCATCTTCGGAAAATCTAGATGAATCCATGTTAGATGTGATTCAAAGAGCAGAAGCTTTCATAATGGCGCATTCCTTCCTAAATCGTGAAGCCAAGCGATCTTCCAGCAACATTTTCGACGTGAGCGGAAATGACGCATCTTTTCATTCGGCAGCAGATAAGTCTGCCATTGCAGACGATTCCGAATCAAACATGATAGCCTCAGGCCCTTCTACAAGTGGTACTAGTGACAGTGATGGCAATCAACAAACAAGCAATGCTTCCAGTGATCATGTTGAGGTGCTGAGCGATGATTCGAATGCTACACTTCCCTATGAGTTAAACGCTTTACGACCGGAGGCCGACGACAACGCCGATTGTGTTGTAGACAACGATGATTGTGTTGTGATAGAAGTGCCACACCCTGTAGTTGATCTTTGTTCCCCCATGCACGATGAAATACCACTCTCTCCAGCAACTCGACGGGCTCGGCGCAGGAGAGCAGATGCCGCTCTAGTAGTGGAATCCATCAATCTTGACGATACGGTAATCAATATTGCACCTCCAGCGCAACAGAATGCCATCCAGACGCCACCACCCACGAAACGAATGACTACCATAGCTCCGCGTTCAGATTCCATATCAACTGAAGCAGCTTCATCAATATCTGCTACATGCCCAATATGTTTGGAGTCCATATTCCACCAGCAGGCTGCATCTACCGTGTGTGGACATCTTTTCTGCAATGCTTGCATTACACAGGAAATTCAAATCCGCAAAAAATGTCCTATGTGCAAACGGGCGCTCAAGAGACAACATGTTCATCCGATTTATTTTAACTGAAGGCTTATTCGTGATTTATTTAAGTTAAACTATTCTGAGCGGTCTAATAAATGTTACATTTTCAATCCGTAAAATCATCTTTTTATTTATACTATTAAGTCACATTTTTTTTTTTTTTCTAGAGTTAATCAATAGTTAATTCAAGCTAAACATTGCGTTAGGTCCTAAGAACATTGACAGATTCTATTCGTCGACTTTCTCTCTGTATCTCCATTCACATGTAAAGACTTTCCCAGGTATTTTCATCACACAGCTAGATAAAAGAAGCTTTTATTTAGCGTCTAATATTACAAACACAACAAGAAACGGTTATGTGCTCAAGTTATTAACGAAAGAGAATCGATCAATGTTACTTAGCGCCTAATGCAATGTTCAGCTTGAATTGTAATTGGGCTGTTTTTCATTCGTCAACCTCCAGACTCAATGAAGTTCCAACGACGGCTCAATTTTGTTTCCTCTGTTCGAGATATAAATCCACTGCGGCCATCGATTGCCATCTATTGACGGCAATCGAATGTGCAGGAAGGCAGCTTCCACACCTGCCAAACACACATGGGCCGGGACCAACGGCTTGTTTTCCGTGCTGAGCACCAATGCTACCGACGCTAGGGAGACAGCTCCCGTACACCTGGACCCTACCTATCGACCCATCAACTCATGAACCGGGGACCAGCGGCTTGACTTCCCCCTTCCGAAGGAAGGCGTGATCAGAGATGTTATGCCTCAGAACATCCCGGCAGCGCCAACTGGGATTGAACCCAGGGCCTGCTGGGGTGAGAGGTAATCACGCTTAGCACTACACCACCGTCGCCGCTTGTATTATAATTTACATACAACCATATTCTCGGACCTCAGATAGCCTAGCTAGTTAACTGTTATTACTGCACACGGTTCAATAATTGTGAATTAAGATCCAATCCGTCCAACCTCAATCGAGGTTTCTGTTTACCGCCTACTCTAACATTAAACATAAACATTTTACATAGTTGAAGACGCTAATTTCAAATAACATACTGTAGTGGTAATTTTTATACGATAGATGGAGTAGATGAAAGCATAGAGTTGATAGTTCCGTTAGAGTACGGCAGTGTGAAGATTGTATATAGATATTAGAATAGCGAACTAGGATAACTTTTAAGGAAGGTACAAATCGGTTTTTTCATCTCTCTTTACCAAACTCCCCCTTTGGAGAGGGATGGTGAGGGGTGTCCCCCCCCCCGCCACCACTGGCAAAAAGAGATGAAAACCGACCCGTTCAAGTACCAACTGTGTGTTTGAAACAGTTCTACCGATTTTTACCGCACTTCAATTGTTATTTGAAGGAAGGCATCCAGTCGTAGGTTTGGAAATTGCAACTATTGTTTACCCCTACCACGATATGTGCTCCTGTCTCTGACTATGCTTTCATCTACTCCATCTATCGTATAAAAATTACCACTACAGTCTGTTATTTGAAATTGGCGTCTTCAACTATGTAAATCGTTGACTTCACGTAGAAGCAATACTAAAACATATAGTCAAAATAAACATTTTGTTCATCGCCAGTCCATGGTGGAAATTTTACTTATTTTTTTAATTTCTAACCATTTAACATGATAAGTTGTTGAGGCTTAAGATTTTGATTGCACACACTCAAAAAATTTATCACATATCTAATGGATGAAAACCATGTGAACTTCACATAGCTTTCATGTGATCACATAGCTAAAAATTCCACCACAAAATCACATGAATATTATGAGGCCGATGAAATTCATATGAAAAATCATATAAAATTAACGTGATAGCATAAATTTTATGTGAAATTCAGATGAATTTCATTAATTTTGTTCATGGATGAAAATCATTTGCGTTTCCAATGGTAGCTGCATGAAAACTATTTTCGGTGCAGTCGCGTTCCTTATGAAATTTTGGTGGTAATGACTATTTACTAGACCAACAATTGAAATAGGCGGAACAACCAAACGTAAACAATGGCTTTAAACGCAAATTTCTCGAGAATCAAAACACATAAATTTAGCAACTCGGTACCCGCATAAACGCGAACCATCACATGACCTTACCGATAATGGTTATAAATTGTTTATAATCCCTGCTAAACTTCAACTGAAATGGTTATGGAACTTTACATGAACGTTTGTGTGATAAAGTTTTAACCTTATGTGTTATGGTTTTTTGGAAGCGGACCTTACAAATAATGGGTTGTTAAGAACCATTACCATTCCAAATTCTTGTTTTCTCCATACATTTTTGGAAAGAGAACTATATTAGAACGTTTTTACTTATGGTTTGAGAACATTAATGGTTATGGTTATGGTAGTCAGTAAGGTCCATTAATGGTTTTGTATTATCACTCAACTTTACGTGAAATATATCGTGAATTGGTAATCAGTAATTTACAGGCAACCAATTCGCGATATATTCCACATAAAGTTGATCGATGTTACAAAACCATTCATGGACCTTACTGGTTACCATAACCATTACCATTAATGTTCTCAAACCATAAGTTAAAAGGTTTTAGTATAGTTTTCTTTCCGAAAATGTATGGAGAAAACAAGAATTTTGAATGGTAATGGTTCTTAACAACCCATTATTTGTAAGGTCCACTTCCAAAAAACTATAATACTTAAGGTTAAAACTTTATCACACAAACATTCATGTAAAGTTCCATAACCATTTCAGTTGAAGTTTAGCAGGGATTATAATCAATTTATAACCATTATCGGTAAGGTCAATTTATGGTTCGCGCTTATGCGGGTAGCAACGCATCAGACGGTTGCTATTTTGAATAAACGTCAAAATTTTGTTTTGCTGGTGTGGAAAACGGTAACTTAAATAATGATTGTGATAGCAACGACCGGTGTGGAGAGGAGTGATTAAGCCAAAATGGAAACGCTGTGCGTAAGTAAAATAGTGCCGCAAATGGCAACGACTGGTACGGTTGCTCTTATGTCGTTTTCGCTTTTGCGGTGTAGCCACCGACAAACCGACATGAAACATAAACTTAACTCTTGATCGAGAATCCATAACGGCGGATTCAAATGTGCAGCGATCCCATCTGTCAAAACCATAGAAATTTGTTATCTAGATAAAAATAATATGCCTAGAATATATTAGACACGGTTCAACTGATACAATTTGTATGCGCGTTCGTGGCTAGGATACACATTTTTCGCGAACACGGAGGCAGATGTCAGTTTTGTTCTTTGATCAGAAATTTGATGGTACTTGTATGGTTATTCATGTCGGTTTGTCGGTGGTGTAGCTACACCGGTGCTACACTGTAGTACACCGAAATATTTTAGGGTGTAGATATAGGATGCACCTTTGTTTACGAACGAATAATGATGTTGAGCTGTCAAAGACTCGCGCTTATTCCTGCTTACACTACACTAGCGCTACACCGCAAAAACGAAAACGACATTAGAATTTATCGCCGACTTCGGTAATTTTTACCGTAATCTGAACAGCTGACCTGTTCGGTAAAATTTATGCAATTTAATTCAATTGCTTTTCAGCTACTTTGAAACTAAATCTCCACTAAAATGACAAGATTTGATCTTTTAAACAAGGTTTATATGTTTTGAAATTTTGAAATTATTTTCAAATTCAATAGCTTTTATGAAGGTCAAAGTTTTACCGAACGTTCAGGTTCAGTAATACGATGCCTCGCCAATTTTCGCACACAATCAGTTACCCCTTCTTTGGGAACTTCACTAAGGTGGAGGCGAACCAGCCCAAGGCTGAAAGCCACCCTAATAAAGCTAAATAATAATAATAACTTCACTAAGATGCCCTGCATTCTGACGGCCTGAAAAGTAGCGTTGTCCCTGCTATTACGGAATAATTGATGCAACATTTGTTCAAATGGTATTGGGTCAGCTTTGAGCATTTTCTATTTCCTATAGTAATGGAGCCTGCGAGTTGACACTCTTGACACGAGGGATGTGCCGCACCATTGGCGGATCATGCCGAGATGTGGGAATACAAAGAGAAAGTCGACGAAGAGAATCTGTAACTGTTACTTAGGACCTAATGCAAGGTTCAGCTTGAATTATCGAAGACCTACACACTAAATAAACTTAAGAATTTCATAAGGATCGACTTATGAACGACACATATGAATTTCGTAAGCGTGAGCGTTATGAATGATTTTCATCTAATATGAGGTAGCTCTTATGCCATTTTCATCACACCAACCGTTGAAAGACGAGTGGTCGGCATACGGGCATCAACGTATATGATTCAGTTCCAGTCTGCTGCGTTTTATTATTAATGAAATTCATACTGGTTTCTTGTGACTAAAATTCAGCAGTGGTTTTTATGGAATTCTTATGTTCTTTTGCCTCAGTGTATGATACCTCGAACTATCCCCCTATTCTGCGAGTCACGTGACTCGCAGAATAAGGGGGATTATCACCTCGTGTGAGGTGACTCTCCATTTGATTTGCACGGATTCACCTCACACGAGGTGACAAAGTCACGTGACTGGCAGAACAAGGGGGTTCAATTAGTCTTTTTCGTCATTAATAGGCATTCGGACATATGCAATAAAAACGCTGTACATCCCTACTTAGTTTTATCATTTATTCCATATCTGTATAAATTAAATGGATAAAATACAGATTGTGGTTGATAATAAAGCTAAAACTAAAAACCTAAGATTAAAGATGTGTTTTTGGTATGTGCTTTCACACATTTTGCTGCATTTATGTGTTTTTATAATATTTTAATATTTATTAGTTTTTTTTTTTCATTGTTTATATGTTTTCTTCCAATAAGCATCTGCATAAAATGGTGTTTATTTTTGCACAGTAATTTAAGACATGGCGATAGTATCGAGAGGCGCCTGTAGTGATTATATAGATACCCGGTGTATGATGAGTTAGAATTTACAGAAACTTATTTTTGAACATGAAAAGCAGAAAAGTTACGCAACTTTTCCTTTTATGTTCTGAAAATTAGCTGTCCCTTGCTATCCGGCCATTGTTCAGATGATATTTTCCAAAGAACATAATAATTAATCGCCAATATAGAAATCATCCGCTTCAAGATGATATCTCTGTTCTTAGCCAACTCAAAACAACCGGGTCAGTTGAACGGGTTTGAAATGCATCGTACCACGAAGATATATTAGCGGACGTTGGAAAGTATCAGCCCAAAACAGGAAACGTATGACAAAATGAACGAAAAAACATCATATACCAAATACAGTTTATAGCAGTCCTTTTCTAAACATATCACTCCTGTTATTTACTTGCTTCCATATACATTTTCATCAGAGTAAGCAATATACAGGAAGTAATCCTCCTCGTGGTGTTCCTGTCGAGGAGAAAAATAAAACAAGTTACAATCATGAATCATTAAAAACAGTTGACAAATATCGCTTACCTGGTACAAAGACCCCATGGTTGCTGATGTTGGTGGAATTACGTTGTTTACAAAGAAGAATAAGGCGTCTTCAGGCCTAAGATGAATTCTCTTACGAATTAGAAAATAGAACTGCCCAACAGTCAGGTCAGACGGGACTAGATATTTCTTCTTATCCAAATCTCCGATGCGAGCTTTAGGGGCTTTTTCAACAATCACCTGTGTTTAACAATCATACAAAAATTATGAATATTTGTTTGGAAGCAATAAAACACAGATTAAATTTTATCTTATTTCGCACAGAAAGAAAAACATCTTAATACAATCCTATAAACACATTCACTACCTGTCATGAGAAAAAGATCGCTTGGAAATGCATTGCTACACTCTCTTGTTGAATATTGCATCACATTGAAATAAGTTTAGCATCACCCAAATGTTTTGTCATTTCATGTCAATGTCACTGTGCGAGCACTTTTGGAGTTCTTTTAAAGTTTTTGGAATTACAGACTAGTTTATTATGACTAAAACCGAAGACTACAAATCACGAAGACTGGCAACGGTTCCCTTCTCCCATACACATGTCAAACGTCACTGATAACAGCGCCTCTGTCAATCAAAGGTGGAACTTTGAAGCACAAGTGTTAGTGAGACACCGAAACGAATAATCATAACACGGTACTCGTTGTTGTTTTTGATCTGCTCTACCAAATTTCAAGGCAATTTGTATCCAGCAAGCCGGTGGTTTCCAACTCCAAACCGAAAACTTGTCATAGTGGATCAAGTAGAGAATTGAAACTAGGATCGATACCTAGTGAAAATAACTCTAACGTGAATCGAATTATTGTTTATTTTGCCTGTTGGAAGCAATCAATTACAAGGCATTGACAGCTTCCACCACCATTGAGTGAACTACCATTCGGAAGCTGCTGAATTCAAGGATTCAAAAATAAGAAAGATCCGGTACCTACATCACGATCCAACGGAAGGCGTAGCAGGATCTAATGTTGGAGAAAATGAAAATGAAAGGTTGAAGGACTACAATCCCTATTGATTGTATTAATAAAGAATATATTTCCATTTTAGATGTTGTCTGAACATAAAACCCTCGAATAGTGATCTTCTGTATGCTCAAATGGTCAGCGAGTACTGTGCCAAGTTGCCGAGCGTAACAACTTAACTTCCCCCACTGCGGCCAGGTGCCAAAGCCATGCGGAACGTTCATGCATTTTACTAATGCACCATACGAATGCCCATAAATGCATCACTAAAGAGCTAAGGAAAAGTGGAAGATAATTCTGAAAAAAAAACAAAATAATGATCGAGGAATGTCCCACCATCATTTTTTTAATTTTAAAAACAAATTTAGTTACGCATCTGTTTAATTTCAGCTGGAATTTTACTCGTTGTCAAAGAAAGAAACTTTTCACTTTTTACGACAATCATAACAAAACACAGCTATTTATTTCTACCTATGTGTGTGAATGCACTCGTGAATTAACACACACCATCATTCACAGGTTCCACTTTTGCTCAGAAGAGGCGTTGCCGTTACTGTCTCCTGATTTTTGGCAGAGTTGCCAGTCTTCTTGATTTGTAGTCTTTGTTTGTAGCCAATTGGTTACCTTCGGTGCGCTTATTTCTTGTGATGCAAGCAATAAGTTCCCCGAAGACACCAAAACGATTTGAAAGAAGGTGCACTTTTATCACACTTTTTGCATTTTTGGGGCGGTCCAGGTTCTGATGCAATCAGCAATATCAAAATGTATTTTTTTAGTTTACTCGATCTTTATGGGAAATAATATTGCGGTGTTTCCCTAGACGCGGTAGTTAATTTCACCAACCAAAGTCCGCGTTGAATTTCGTGCAATGACGCGTTTGAGAAAAATCAAAATGCCGTGCGGTGCATCACATTGACTAAATCCTACTATACTTTGGACTTTGAAAAAACATTTAAAACGGTTCTTATTTTGTAATACAAATGTCGCTAAAAATACCAAAACTACGTTGTACCATCCATAAGAGTCCATAGAGAAAAACAAATTGAACAGGGTTTTTCTCAGCTTGCTGTTTTCACGAATGGGACAACTAAGCTGAAAAGGGCAGTGCACCTTGGTAAACAACGGTTAAACCACAAACGAAGTGACAGACGGAGCGGCTCGAAAACTTTGGTGACTAATCTGCTATTTCAATTTTTCAGTGTACCACGTGGCAACACCACTACTACTGGATTGTACCACATGGCAACACTACTACCACAAACGAAGTGACAGACGACTAACTGGCGAAGAAATCCATTTAAATAATGTGGTTCACTGTAATAGAATTTTCTTGGAAGCTTGTGCCATCATCCACCAGATGGGTTAGTTTTTTTGTTTTGATTTGAACAAAGTTGATTTTGTGTACAATGATTCTTTGACAGTGTGCAAAGAGTGCGTATCATTTTGTCATTGTATTATGCATTTCAGTTTTGAGTAGAGTGAAAGAGACAGAACCAAAACATTCTAGTACATTTGGTGAAAATGCTAGTTCAATCCAGTAGTAGTGTTGCCATGTGGTACACTGAAAAATTGCAATAGAAGGTTAGTCACCAAAGTTTTCGAGCCGCTCCGTCTGTCACTTCGTTTGTGGTGCAAAGAGTGCGTATCATTTTGTCATTTTTTTATGCATTTCAGTTTTAAGTAGAGTGAAAGAGATAGAACCAAAACATTCTAGTACATTTGGTGAAAATGCTAGTTGAATCTAGTAGTAGCACAAACGAAGTGACAGACGGAACGGCTCGAAAACTTTGGTGACTAACCTGCTATTGCAATTTTTCAGTGTACCACATGGCAACACCACTACTACTGGATTGTACCACATGGCAACACTACTATTGGATTGAACTAGCATTTTCACCAAATGTACTAGAATATTTTGGTTCTATCTCTTTCACTCTACTCAAAACTGAAATGCATAAAAAAAATGACAAAATGATACGCACTCTTTGCACACTGTCAAAGAATCATTGTACACAAAATCAACTTTGTTCAAATCAAAACAAAAAAACTAACCCATCTGGTGGATGATGGCACAAGCTTCCAAGAAAATTCTATTACAGTGAACCACATTATTTTAATGGATTTCTTCGCCAGTTAGTCGTCTGTCACTTCGTTTGTGGTGGTAGTGTGTAAACGTCAAACGCAAGGGAATTGACTATGCGCGCCACAGGTGGCGGTACTACCAACTACGATACTTTTAAATTGTCCGTTAAATGCTTGTTCGATGAACAACTTTTGAGTGTTATGTCTGTTTGTCTGTGTTATAAGCTTAGAAAATTCCAGAAACTTGTAAATTTACGGAATGATCTCGGAGTACATCTGGATGTGTTTCGGATGTTATTGTAGTTTTAGATGATTCAAATTCTTTGAGTCCCGGCAGATTTGGAAGCAATGGGGATCCAAGGGTTTTGATGTAAGAATGTCTAGAAATTTAAACACTATAAAGAGCTCCGCGAATATTTTGAAGTTCCGATGACTCCGGGGTTTTCCAAAGTTTCGGGAATTTCCGGAAGTTTTTAAGATTCTTGATCGTACATCGATGACATCGTATAGAAAGTCGAGTTTTTCAAGCGATTTGTATACCCTTTTCAGTAAAAAATCCTGCAGCGAAGATCCCTTGAAACAAATTTCTATATATTTTTTTTTAGAAATATCTATAAGTCGATAATTCTTTTAATATCAAGCAGTGGAGTATTGACTGCAGACTGCTTCCTGAAACCTGTAGCATAATGAATAATTCTTGCAATGGGAACAACAAGTTACAAGTCCCTTTAGTTTCGTTATGCTACCCACCCAGGTTGATAACCGAAATTGTGTTTATTATTAGGAAGCGATTTAAAAATAGCCATATTTTTCGAATTTTTCATTACCTTACCTCCCAATGTGATGCCCACTTCAATACCGGATTAAATAGAATTGCTTGTAAATGTAATTTAAGAAGTGTTGATGGAACCTTCATTATTGGTGCATAATTAATCGGTACTTCGTGTTACCATTGTCACACCTGCTGAGCAACAGGATAAGCGCATTTGTAAGTCGCATCGCTAACATTGGATTGCCTACACTGCGAAAACACAAAGCACCTTAACCTTGAGTTGTTCTAGTAAAGACTTATCTGCTCGGGTTTGATCGGATATTTACGAAACGAGAGGTACCGACGATTCACTAACAAAAACAAATATGAAACACATATACCACCACATATTAAATAGGTGGTCACATTCAACACTGTTTTCACCTCACCAGCTGAGCTGATATTCTTTTGTGTCTTATAATCAACAAATCGAGCCCCAGAAAAGATTTTTTTTTTTTTGTAATGCCAGAAATTGTTTTCTCTTTTACAATGCTTGGCAGATATCCAAATAAAAACTAAGGTACAATGGCGGCTGGATTTCCACTACTCATACATTGATTTTTTTACCTCGAATAGTTCAGTACTTCCAATTTCTACTACGTAGGAAAAAAAATTCAATAACGTAGGATAGCTAGCTTGTTTTTCATAAACATCGGATGTTTCGAAATGGTTACAAACAAAGAAGCGAACAGACTTATTTTTTAATGACGTAATAACCTTGACCAAAGTTGCTAAATTTAGTATTTCCTGGTAGGAAATATGTTTATGCAGAATATTGAAAACTGTACTGCGATCCGAAAAATGGCAATTTACAAACACAAACAGAAAGCAGTACATTATGAGTACATCCAAACAGATGCAACCTATTTCCAATGGTTTGTTTGCCTTGAAAAATAGTGTCCGACATCTTGATTTCTCCAATAGTCATGAATCATTCTGTTTTTCAACTGAGTTGCGAAAAAATCCACATGAGGTAGAGAATATGCACCTTTTCCAAAGTGATTCACATTCGCTGGGTACTTACTGGTACTCGATCAGGATATTTGCGACGGATCTTATCTCCCTCGGCCTTTCGTTTCTCGAATGGATGTTCCTCCTTGTATTGAAATTTCATTTTTGCACTACTTTATTTTGCCTGCGCTTTTGAAATGTGACTCGGACTTTTCTCTAAACAGATGTGTTCTCTTCAATGTTTTTAATGAAACTGCGCTAACAATCGCCTACTACGTCTTTTGTTTTGTTTGTGTCAAGCGCAAGCCAGTAAAGTAAATAGTTTACAGGTAAAAAGCTCTCGCAAAGCTTTTTAGTACAGCTTTCGAACATTAGTTTGTACACTAAAAATATATTTACTAGATAAATATTTCAAAAGGCCCTATTTGCATTGAACGATTTTCTTCATCAAATTTCTCTTCCATTAATAACTCAACTTCAAAAGCATTCCCTGCTGTGTTGAACGTTCTAAGACCATTTGAAATGTTCATCGAGATTTCACAAAACAGGGGCGAAAACCTGGGGGGGGACGTGCTGTCAAATCAGCCTACTGATCATCTTGTATGAAACTGGTTCCAAACGTAAACAAACGCTGTAGGTTTCTTATGGCTCGTTTACGTTTGGAACCAGTTATGCGAGGTAGGCGACGATTGTTCGTATTTGACAGCCACCTCCCCCCCCCCTTGGCGAAAACATCTAAATCTCAAGTTTAGATTAAAGCCCTCTAGTTAAAGTATGGACGACTGTCACCACAAAACTGAAAAAAGCTGTTCCAATCGAGCAAAGCGGTGCATTTTGACGGTTCGATTGGAACAACTTTTGACAGACGTCCATACTTTTACTGTAGGGCTTTAGTTTAAATGCGTAACAAATCTCCAAATCTAGTTACTAGCGAATCAATCTTCAAAAAATCTTCTTTCATTGGCGTTGACGGCGACTCTGTAGCTCTTTACTCCTATGAGAAAATCCATAAGCAAACGTCAGACTGTGCGTGAAACATGGCGGACTTCGTACTATCCTTTCACTCCATCGAAAATTCCCATAAGAAACTGTCTACATTTGCTGGAAGAGCAAATTTTTCGACAGTGCCGTCAACGCCAATTTCTCACATCTACTTGCATCGGGCACAGCGTTGCCAGATATACCGATTTATCGGTATTTATACCGATTTCCGAACTAGATACCGATATACAGATAAGGTTCCTCAGAATACCGATTTTTGAGGTTTTATACCGATTTATACCGATTTGTTTTTTTAAATAATCAAAATGATTATTGCATGCCCGCGCACGAATTTCGGAGAAAATTACTGTTAGAGACTTGTAGCTTTTCGAATATATCAAATTTTTTGAGCCTTTTAAATTCTAAAAAAAAATCATCTTCAAAAATGTCATGGATACTCTTTCGATGAATGTTTTAATTTCTTCATCGTTTTTGGCTTTCTATTAATCGATAAACAGTCGAGAGCTCTTTCTGGTAAAACCGGGGGAATCGGGAAATACTTTCTAAACATAATTTAATTTCCTGAATGTTCTGCCAACTTTCCCCTGGAATTTTCTTCCACCTTACATCGTTAATTATTTTTCGATTCCTCTCGGAAACTTATTTTGACTTCCCTTGGAAGCCTCTTCAACCTTCGTACGAATGATTCTTGCATCTTCTCCCGCCAGTTTCTTTTTTCAACTTTCCCGGAACTTCAGGGATGCTTCCAGATTTTGATTGCGGATCGACACTAGCTGCAGGAACTTTTAAGAAGTTCTGAAACTTCGGAAATGTCCAGACTTTTGAGTAAATTTCGATAAATTAAAAAACGTTTCTAAAACTTCTGTTCAAATTCTAAATCCCGGTCCAGCGAACTCCAGTGAATTTAAGGAAACATCATAAATATTTTGGATACTTCACAAGTCCAAAACTCTTCTAGAAAATTTAATGTTTTTCAGGACAGTTCTATTCGTTTCAGGAGAATTGAGAGAACTTTAGGAAGCTCCGAGAACATCAGGACAGATCAATAAATTTCAAGGAAATCGCTTAAATTTTAAAGGAGTTCCGAAAAACTCAGGAAATTTCCGAAAACTTCAGCAATATTCCGAGGGGCTCATGCAAATTTAAGAAACGTAAGGGAAGTTATAGGAACACATTTTGAGAACATTTTATGGGAAGTTCCGTGCTTATTAATGGCAGTGTCGATAACTTTTAAAAATTAGAAAAATCGGGAAGATGAGAGAACTTCAATGCTGATGTTACAATAAATACAAGAACATTGTGAGAGCGCTTAAGAAATTTCATAATCTTCGAGAAAGTCTAGAGAAAGATGATCAGAGTACTCCAAAACAGCCCGAGGAAATATGGAATTTTCCTAAGTACATTTCAGGAATGTTCCAAAAGCTTTAGGGGCATTGCGGGGTCTTCAGGGATGTTTTGTGACCATTTGGAAAAATTTCTGGATCATTAGAACATCCCACAGGAGGTCTTTCTTGCGGAAATATGTCCTTGTTTCTTTCGACTGTTCCGTAAGCGCTCTGGCTTCCGACATTCTCCAGATTTATTTTCCAATCTACCTTAGGAAGTTTCTGCCAACGTCTCCAGGAAGTTTCTTCCGTCTTCTCCAGAATGTTCAATTAAACTTCTCGCAGAAATTTCTTTTGTCTAGTTCTGAAATTTTGTCCAGTTGGTTTTTTTTTACTTCTATTGGAAGGTCTTTCCGAGATTTTTCTGGCTTCCCCTGGAAATGGCCACTGCTGCAATTTATTTTCGATTTCTGAAACTTTTCTGTCTTCCTTTCAATGTGAAATCCATTTTTTTGTTATGTTTCTTTAATTTTTAAGTTCCACGAATGTTTTCCCAACTTCTCTCAGTACTTTCCTCAAATTTTCTCCAGGAGAGCTTCTTTCTTCTTTCTATGGATGTTGTTTTCAGCTTCCTCCAGAAGCTAATTCAAACATTCCTCGGAGTTTCCTCCCGGAATTTTCCGATCATAGCGCAAAACTTAAAATTTTCGCTTTCAAAAACGGCAAAAATATAAAATTAATTAAAATAGTAAATACCGATAAATACCGATTTTTTAAAACCATTTACACCGATAAGCTTTAAAACAATCTGGCAACGCTGTCGGGCATCATCTTTTTGCAGGAAATCTTCAGAATCATCGTCAATCTTCCTTCTATCTACTCAGCGTGCACGCAGCTAGCCACAGCAAAACACAATCTTTCCTGCATCGTAGATACCTAGAGTCGTCCCTCTCGTTTTTATCCTCATCATGCAGAGACAAAACATTGTAAAAATTTTAATGTACACGGAGATGAAAAACCACCCAAAAGTATGTACTTTTAGCTCAATAACCCAAATTTGAGTAAATCACATATAGTAGTTTACATTGAACACCAGCAAAAAAAAACTACTCTTAAGTACATTTTACCCAAAATTAGGTTTAATTCCGTAAATTTGAGAATATGCAATTTACTCAAAAGTAACTTATTGGGCTGAACTATATCTATTTACTTATTTATTTATTTATTCGTCAATCCATCAAATCGTAAACTACATATTAATATTAGGACTTATGTTCTATGACTTCGCAGGGTTCTGAAATATATTTTTAATTCTGTTGAGGGCATATTCAGGTCAATCATTTCACAATGATGATTATAAACAGTCATCATCTGATTTACAGGTCTTAATTTAGCGTAATTGGTCCGATGGCGACCTACTGCGAACAACTGTCGATTGCGTGATCGTCGGGAAGGTGCATACAAATTTAACCTTGACAATAGATCAACTGAGTCAATGCGTTGCGAAATGATATTGTTTATAAAAGAAATCTTTGCGTAATCCCGACGTTCTTTCAATGTTTGAATACTGATCAGCAAGCAACGTTCTTCATATGACGGGAGAGGAAAAGCCGTCCAGCCTAGCTTACGTAGTGCATATAATAAAAATTTCTTTTGGATTGACTCTATTCGTTCTTCATGCTTTTTCATATAGGGTGACCAAACAACGCTACAATATTCTAAAATTGACCTCACATAAGCAACGTTAAGTGATTTTATTGTATAAGGATCTTTTAAGTGGAGACCGAAACGTTTTATAAAATTAAGCATATTGCCTGCTCTATGTATTATTGTGTTATAATGGTCCACAAATGTCAATTTAGAATCTAGAATAACACCTAAATCTCTTACACTGATAAAATTTCAAAGATTGCTTGTATGTGTCCCACACATGAATTTTGGCAATGTGATCAACAAATTATATTTATGTGTCGGACACATACTTAATATGTGTACACATAAAAGCCATGTGTAACCACACATACTATTTATTTGACTCATAAATTTCATGTGTGCTTCTGGATGGATTCTGTCAAACGCTTTGCTGAAGTCTGTATATAGAGCTTCTACTTGGTTACCTCTGTCCATTGCATTTAATACGAAGTCCACAAATTCCAAAAGGTTTGTGGTGGTTGAATGGCCTTTAAAAAAGCCTCAATTTACCTCAATACCCTTGAAGAACCCAATTTTGTAAACTTAATTTTTCTCATTAAAATAGGATTGAGCGATATCAGAGAAAGATCGATCTTGACGGATTCAGTATAATTTTGAGTTGTTTTTTTTTTCGAGCGTGCACGGAACATTTAACCGACAAGTTGTGCTCAAAAGCTTTTCGTATGCACATAAAGCTTTTGAGCATCTGTCGTGACTGTGATTGGTATGTCATTAGAAGAGAGCAGCAGTGTGGTGGGGAAAATTTTCATTGATCAAAATAATAGTGAACTCCTTACGTTTTGTATTTTTCTTTTTAAATTGGGCAAAATATTGCATATATTCAGTAATGTTCTGAATTTTTAAACGTGCATGTGATTGAAGATACTTCAAAAAAGTTTGATAATGTAAGAATAATACGCAGTTGATGTTTTTTCTTGATTATTGCGAAGTTGAACTGTTTTTCTCCTTTAGTCAAAGGGCAGCGCAATGACCGACAAAGGTACTACCACGGCCCAGCCGCTGGTGAAGATTGGACATTACATCTTGGGAGCGACACTGGGGACAGGAACCTTCGGCAAGGTGAAGATCGGTGAGCATCAATTAACAAAACACAAGGTGGCTGTAAAAATCCTGAACCGTCAGAAGATTAAAAGCCTAGATGTTGTGGGCAAAATTCGTCGTGAAATTCAGAATCTGAAACTGTTTCGACATCCTCACATAATCAAACTGTATCAGGTGATTTCCACGCCAACCGATATTTTCATGATTATGGAATATGTCAGCGGTGGAGAGTTGTTCGATTACATAGTAAACAATGGGAAACTGCAGGAATCGGAAGCAAGACGATTTTTCCAGCAAATTATATCCGGAGTCGACTATTGCCATCGCCATATGATTGTTCACCGTGATCTGAAACCGGAGAACTTGCTATTGGATCATAATCGTCACGTTAAGGTAAGCTAGGAAGCTACTAGTTTGTGTTTAATACTAAATGATTCAATGATCGTTTTCTTAGATTGCTGATTTTGGCCTCTCCAATATGATGTTGGATGGAGAATTTTTACGAACATCATGTGGATCACCTAATTATGCAGCACCGGAGGTTATCTCAGGAAAATTGTACGCAGGTCCAGAGGTGGATATTTGGTCTTGTGGTGTGATATTGTACGCTTTGCTCTGTGGAACTCTTCCATTCGATGATGAACATGTGCCCACGTTATTCCGTAAGATTAAATCTGGAATTTTCCCTATTCCTGAGTATCTGAACAAGCAAGTGGTAAGTCTGCTGTGTCAGATGCTGCAGGTTGATCCGTTGAAGAGGGCTACCGTCGAGGAAATTAAAAAGCATGAATGGTTCCAAAAGGAATTGCCGGCCTATCTGTTTCCCTCTCCGGTAGAACAAGACAGCAGTGTCATCGATACACATGCGGTGACGGAAGTTTGCGATAAATTTGGCGTCAAAGAGCAAGAAGTACACAACGCTTTACTGAGTGGTGATCCACATGATCAGTTGGCTATTGCGTATCATTTAATCATAGATAATAAACGCATTGCTGATGAAGCTGCTAAGGCCGAGTTGAAGGATTTCTACGTCGCTGTAAGTCCTCCCCCAGCACCTGTTCTGCAACCGGAAAGGCATACTCCGGTGAACGAGCCATTTAAATCGCCTTCTATCCATCCTGAAAGAATTGCACCATTACGAGAGCGAGCAACGGGCCCTGGCAGTGCACCTATACCGTCGCCAAACATTACTGCTACAGCTTTACCGATAGATAAACACCGTGGTACGCCAGTCAAACGAGCCAAGTGGCATTTGGGTATTAGATCTCAATCTAAGCCTAACGACATTATGCTGGAAGTTTATAGAGCAATGAAAGCTCTCGACTTCGAATGGAAAATTATCAATCCCTATCATGTCCGCGTTCGCAAGTACAATTCCCGCAATGATAAGTACGTCAAAATGTCATTGCAGTTATATCAGGTAGATACCAAAAGCTATTTGCTGGATTTCAAATCTCTCACCAATGACGAGGTGGAACAAGGAGACGATGTGATCATGGAAAGCCTTACCCCGCCCCCTCCTGTTGGGTTTGGTGGGATGGGCATTCCGAACCAACCGACCGGGCATCATACCATGGAATTTTTCGAAATGTGCGCCGCACTTATTATTCAACTAGCTCGTTAAGATATTTTACACCGGCCGATGCCATTTGTTGATAGATCAGTATCCAAAGTTTATTTTATGTATTGCAAATGATCAATAAAGATGCCATTGAGTATACAGCATATACTATTGCCTACTGGTGAAATCCGAAATCACGCGCTATACAGTCTAACAATGATATGGTAAACATGTTATTTGATAAAATAGTCTTGAATTCAAGATAAGGTACCTATCAAAATGGTGGACAAGTATGGAAATAGCTTCATGTCGCCATGTTCGAGTGATCGTCGTTGATAATGATTTGTTGTTATGTAAAAGAGGTTCGGTGACCTAGTGGCAACCTTTTTTCCTTACTGAGTGATCGTGGGTTTTATCCCAGGCCTCTTACAATACTGACTTGATAGGTTCGCATCAAAAGATTGGAAATATTATTCGTGTGAATTTCCGAAAACAATACTGACCCATTCCAGGTGACGTGCCACGCAAATTTTCGGATCATTATTCCTCTTTTCGTTTAAACTTTTAATAAACTTCATAATATGACAATGTTATGGGCACCAATAGAAAGTAAATATTTTTTCCACTTATTTTGTTTATTAAGGTTCAAATGTCCAAAAGGACAAAAGCTTTTAAATAATCCAACTCAAAACTATTTTTTTTCACTTAGAGTTGACTCATTCTCAACCCAACTTAAATACTGAAAATTATTTTCTCACTTTTGGATATTACTCAATTAAAAAACAATAATTAAATATTTATTTTGTATTGCTTTAATGTTTATTTCAGACCATTTCATAACACGAGCAGTTTTTAACTGACGTTGGTCATCTAGCTTTCAACCATCCAAATTCTCGTACTGCTCAAGAGTTACAAAATAATTCATCACGGTACAAGTATTTGAATAAACATAAAATCAATTTGTCATCCTCACAAATCCCAATCCTTTTATTTCTAAGTCATATAATCTGGAGCCACTGAGTGGCCACAATATCCATTTTTGCACGGAATTTGAGATAAGAGATAAGACAAGTAACTTGCAAAATAACTTGATCAGAATAATGTTTTGCCTCTTAAACCCTTAATGATTATTCTGATGCTAGGGTAGAGCACTACTTCGCCGTAATCGCCCATTAACGTTCTATCGATTAGAAAAGATCAATAATATCAATGATCTCACCGTGCAAAAATCAATAATAGGTATGTGCCGATGCGTTAGTTCATTAGCTACAACATAAATCCTATTAGAGCGCATTGTATGAATATTTACGCTCATTGTTCTCAAAACAAAAGAAGCGCTCCTAGCGAATCCCCTTTTTCTACGTTTATCCGTAGGACGAAGAAAATCTAATGGCGTTTCAATGCGTTTGGACGGAATTGAAACTCGTAGGACGAATTTAGAATCAAGAAGCAGTGTTATATTTTAAGCAATATCTCAATAATGTGTGACTCTTTTTCAAGTCCAATGGTACGTATGGAAAGGTGAATACATTTAGAAGTTATTTTTGACAGAAATATTCCCCTTTTTGTTTAAAATCGTTCAGAAAAGAGAAATAAATCGTGGGTTGTGCTTAGTACGACGGAAATAAGATCAAAAACCCTATCTTTCATCCAGTTGAAGTTTTGTCTTTACAACTTTTGTTGACTTTGATGTTCGATTTTGCAATGATCTGATTTTTTATCCTTTTGTCCCTCAACCCGTTGTCTTCCTTTTTTTATTGGGTATCAAGCTGGAGCTGCGTGACAGCTTTGTTTTCAAGACTTGACAAATTTGAATAAATTATGCTTCTATCCTTGACAATACAACAGAAGGATCAGCCTATGTTTGCAGCTTGAACATTCGATTGCGATTCCGTGTATATTGTTTCAAGATAATACATCCGCGTAGTAATCCGATTGAATAAATTATAGATTCCATAGATAAGCGGAGACACAAAAAGTTTTTTTTGGCGACCATGAAAAATAAATGATCTTCCTGGCATCCGTGAAAAAAGTTCATCTCATCATAGAGCTCTTCGTTGTGCAGTTTTGTTTTATAAAGCAAATCTTTGCAACAATGTATCGAGGAATGGCTTGCTTCATTGGGTGAGACAGGTTTACTCTGAGTTGCTTTTTTGCAGCGAGTAACTCGTGAGTAACTTAATGTACCTCAACATTTCCTCTGCCTGCTCCGTTTACTCTTTTTAAGCATTATACGTCTCATATTAGACGTCAGTTTTGTTTGTAAGTAAAGTAATCCCAAGTGTATTCTGAGCCTTTCGAATAGCTGGAATATTATGGAAGAACCTGTGCCGGTGCAATAAGCAGGCACCAATAACAACCTACACTTCCAACCAGCTTTAAGGGTTGTTCTTCCTCCTCAGCAACCAGCCTCAGTCGTCACTCCAAAATGGTCATCTCTGATCAAAAAAGCTCTCCAATATTCTTCTAAAGATCTGGAATTCAACCTATGATGCAGCGATCCCATCCTCTTCGATTTCTCCAGTCGTAACAGAAGCCCCATTGGAAAAGGCATCACCAGTCAATGTGGCAATAATTAACTCCGATCCCCTTTCGACTAACATTCCCGTTGGCACCATGGCGAGCAATATTTCAACCATGGCCCCTCCAACGGCACCCGCCGCCACAGTTTCCGGTATAGAAAATATCTCCCCGGTGGGACAACAACCGATTAACACCCAATTCCAGCTCCGAAGACAACGCTACAAACCATTACCCTACGATGAAGTAGCTGCTGTTTCCGATGAGTGCGATCTTCGTCCATCCAACGGCAGTTTGTCAAGCGATGGGACGGGATTGCTTCGACGAGTATCGATTTTGAGTATTTGGTCAGGTAGATCGGGTTTTTCTACCACATCAACCAGATAAGCATTCGACCGTCGTAAGTGTAAGGTTGCAACAGGTTCTTTCACGTTCACGGTTGGTAAGGGTCGAACGAAGGTTATTAAACTGAGATGATTTAAGTGTTTCCGAGTGCAACTATGAAATTGCTCATGATTAGGAGCTGTGTTGGTTTGCTTTATGTTTCCTTCTTCCGTTGTCCACGAAATAAATCGGAATTTGGAGTGTGGAACGCGTTTTGTGCTCATAATATTACAATACTCGCGTTGGAGGCGAACCAGCCTCAGGCTGAAAGCCTCCTTAATAAAGATAAATCAATTAATCAATTATTACTACTTCCTCAAACAACACCATGATGACGTCATGCTCGTTTGGCTACACTAATAGTACATTCAGACTACAGGGTTCTAACATGTTCTAACGGTTGTCAAATAATTGCAACACAGAAACCACCATCAAGATAGCGCTATAACATGTTATAACTCTGTAGTCTGAACGTACTGTCACAAACGAAGTGACAGACGGAGCGGCTCGAAAACTTTGGTGACTAACCTGCTGTTGCAATTTTTCAGTGTACCACATGGCAACACCACTACTACTGGATTGTACCACATGGCAACACTACTACTAGATTGAACTAGCATTTTCACCAAATGTACTAGAATGTTTTGGTTCTATCTCTTTCACTCTACTCAAAACTGAAATGCATAAAAAAATGACAAAATGATACGCACTCTTTGCACACTGTCAAAGAATCATTGTACACAAAATCAACTTTGTTCAAATCAAAACAAAAAAACTAACCCATCTGGTGGATGATGGCAAAAGCTTCCAAGAAAATTCTATTACAGTGAACCACATTATTTAAATGGATTTCTTCACCAGTAAGTCGTCTGTCACTTCGTTTGTGGTACTGTGAACCATTTGCCGAGTTAAATTTAACTCGTGGTTAAAAGTGACATTTCGAAAGTTATTTTCTATGTTCGAAAATCCCTGTGCTGTCGGATCGACCGGTTTTCGAAAAGAACTTAACCAAGGTTGTCAAAATTTAACTTCTTGTCTGTCAGAAGTAACCACGCTCGGATAGCAGGGTTAAAACGCTGTCCAGACTGGAAAGTTATAACATGTTATAACAGTTGTCAGCTAATTGCAACAAAGAAACCACCATCAAGATAACATGCGCTATAACATGTTATAACCATAGAGGTAACTCTAAGACCACTGGGTCCCGAAGAAAATCATTATTATTTTTGGCTCACTCAGTACCAGAACAACGGTCCCAAGCTGTCCCAAGCTATTTCACTCACCCCTGCATGTTCTGCATGAATCCACACACCCCTGATGTTATCTGTCAAACTTTCATAGCGAATCAAAACAAACATAGTGTAGTATTAGAATTTCAACTAGAATAGGGTACGTTAATCGTTTGCTTGGGACCAATAGGCTACTAAAGTGGTGAGCCAAATTAAAATCGTTAGTTTCGTATTGATTGTTGTTATAACTCTGAAGTCTGAACGTACTATAATAGATAACTTTCCATCTGTCAAATTTTAACTGACAGTTCATTTGGCTACATTATACTTTTCCTCCGCTTATCTATGGAATCTATATAGTATCTATAGAATAAGGCTGTGTGTGTGTTCAGAGCCTAAATTAATCCGTTTCGAACGAAATATCTAAATTATGTAAGTTACGAAAACCGCGCGAATTCCGAACGCCGTGCAAAACAACCGAAGCCAGAAAAAAGGCTTATTACCATTTAAAGAGTGCCACCAAAATAAATGTGCCTATGTAGCTTAGTTGATTCCTTTTAGTTTCCTCCCTAGATATTATACTTATTTACTACTGAGCTTTGTATCATCATTTGTTAAATCAGTTGTTAATAATGTTTACAGAGCCGAGGATTCTTGTTCACTATAACGAGGGTGACGCGCTTGGCATAGATGACCCACAGCGGGGTTCTTTAATTTTGAAAAATATATCGGTTTTTATAAATCATCTGAAAGAGCTTCGTTTTCTGAGCACAGCGATAATTTTTTTCGAACCCACACACTTTCATCTCGATTTTTAAATCAAGATTTAAAGCAAAATAATAACTTCACTGTTTGACACTAAACTGACAAACTGACAGCTCGCTCCCATACAAAGTGACACCGAGGGGCGCTAATAAGGTGATTTTTTCAAATGTAATCGTACTTATTTAAAATAGTTCCAGTGTACCAAAATTGATGAAATTTTGGGTTTGGGTTCCATTTTTAATGCAGATTACGAATATGCATTTACCTCAACACCCTTAAAGAACCCAATTGAATCCGATCAGTAGCGGTGCGACTTCTTCCTTCGTCTTGAGGGCAGCCTATCAAGGCTGCTTGCGGGGAGCCTTTTGTTGTGTACTGGAGAAAAATGTACAACGCCACGCACCGATAGCACTGCTGCTGCTGATGACGAACGGTCAACACCATTCACCACACGCGGTGATTGAATAAGCACCGATCGGTGAGACTGGATGGAATTTGATTTTGAAATCTGTGTTAGGGAAAGCGCTTTTCCTAGGCAATCAATGATAATTTTGATCACCATAGCAACAGTTGGACATTTGTGTAATTTCCAATCGATTGGCCTGTTTAGAATTAAAATCCATTCGCTATTGACACAGTTATAAGTGGTCACAGCCTGACCACTTTTCGTAACGCGATCGATTTTGTTTTTGTTTTTTATTGCACCCCCATATGTTGCCGAAACACGTAATCCTACGTCAAAATAAAATTAGAGGTCTTGAAAAAATACATGCCCCTTGCACTCAACTAGATTTTCAGGATAAAACCACTTTGAAGAACTATTAATGTTTTTTCAAAGCAATTTTGAGGAGATTTTAGAATGAATTCTAGGGATAACATCAAGGTATTTCAGAGAAGGAAATTTCGGGAAGAGCTCGAAGAGAGTTTTGACTAGAACTGCAAGTCAATTGAGTGAGTTAATAATGAGTTTTTTAAGTAACGGTTCCAGGATTCGTGAAAATGGGTTTTTACAATTTGAGGGTAAACTTCTAAAGGAATTCTGCGAAGAGTTAAATAGAAATTCAGAGAATAATGCCAAGGGTGTACCGAAAAGATTTTTTTGGATAATTTTAAGCTGAATTTCCAGAACAAATTAGAGGAGATATTCTAATTCTGAGAAATATTTTAAGACAATTCTGAGGTAAATTACAATTCCATTCTAAGGAGAATTCAAGTGATTTAAAAAAGGAAAGAAGTGAATTCGTTTCAAAATCTTGAAAATTTGATAAGAATATAAGAACGAATTTCATAACATGGACTGTTTAAACATTTTCAAGGGATTCTCAGCGATTTTTTCCCACAAATTTATTTTAGAAGAATTTTGAAAAGAAATTTGTCAAGAGAAATTATGTTAAAGGCAAGGTTTATTTATTTTCATCAACCGATGTACCACCGACAAAATGTTACAGTAGACTAGTACAAATACATACAAAATGTGTTTTTCTTGAGAATAATGCATGAGAACAATTCAATAAAATCCTGTTCAGAATTTGAGCGTATTTTCAAAGTAGTTGAAATATACACAAATTTTGGTTTCCGGTTTTATGGTTAATTTAAATTTAAATCGAACAACCGGGAAAATTTCCAAAATTCTGGGAAAAAAAAACTAGGAAACTGTAAATCGAAATTTGCTGGTCACCATACATGGTGCAGTGTCAGTAGAGAACACTCAAAAGCACCTACAGCTACCGTTGCCTGTGGTAAAGAATTCGTGCCTGGTGACCTCACAATTTCATCTCGAATGCTGAACTCTATCGTCGATGGTATCAGACCCATATCAACAGAATTTCGAGAGCGTAAGTGGAGGTGGGTCGGCCACACACTAAGAATGCGCGGGAACGAAATCTGTAAGCAATCGAGATTGGATTGGAACCCAGCAGAGGCAGACCAGGGCAGGGGCTCATGATGATGGCGGCGGAGCCTTAACAAGGAAATCAAGCAAGTGGATAGGGATCTGACGTGAGCGCAGATTATAGCAAAAGCAATCAGCCGCGCAGGATGGAAGTCTTTCACGTTGGCCCTTTGCACCACTGGAAGTGCTCAGGATACATCAATGAATGAATTAATGATAATACATTGGCTCCTCGTAAACTATTTTCAAACAGCGTAAGGATTGGTGATAACAGAAAAATATATCGATGATGCATGTATGCATATTTACTAGGTACTACCGATTTAATGCTATACAGTAACCTTTAATTAACACAACAATTATTGTTACCTGCTTTTTCTTAGTCGACCGGTGGCCAAATTTTGGCCACATCAGAATGACAGGACACTGGCAGACATTGCTGATACTCGGCGAGAAGAACTGTTAGGTGAAATTATTAAGATTATAGTTATTAGTATTAACATGAACTTAGTAACATCCCAACTTACAGTTTCGGTCGGTTCTCCAAAGCTCCTCCAGTCGAGATCTGTCGAAAACCTCGTTCTGCAGCAGAGTTTTGACGAAGGTAGAAATGCGAGCAATCGATGAAGAAAATGACTTCAAGGCGGAATCCGGCGAGGAAAGCAAAGACTTTCTGAACGGTTTTAGTTTATGGAAAACTTCCCCAGCGAGGAAAAATTTAATAAAATATCTGAAAGGAACAAACAAACACCAACTTCAAGTAACCTAAATACACCTGGCGCAACGGAACCTGATCCCGGATCCGGATAACTTAAAAAAGAGTATTAATAAACAATGTGTTGAGTAATCGTATACTTACTGGCACCTCAACATGTTCTTGGGCATTTCAACCTCTGCCGCTGGCAGCTCCCATCCGGCCTTCCCTACAGTAGCTTCCACACGGCAAAGAAGGCTATCTTCGGTCAAATCGTACGTCGGTTCCGGTTCTTCTAGCATTTTAACGATATTGCAGTACTTGGGTATCAGCTGCACCAACCACTCCGGTTCAATTGCCGTTATACCACGGATGAACATTTTCGCTTTGCCACCATCCACCGTTTCGTAGGCCTCCTGATAGCACACCCATTCTGGATCCTTTTTGCGCAGCACGGAACTTGAATGCATGAAGACGGGATCTTCCATATTCGGAAGGTTATATGCGTGTTTGTATTTAATCCGGTCCGTCTTCAGTTTAATTTCACTTTCCGGGATTTTACGGGCAATCTGGTCAGCCATACCAATTAGCATCAACTGGCGCAATAGTTTAGCTTGAATATCGCTAGGAGGTGACATGCCAGGGTCAACAGTTAGGTTTAGATCTATTAGGTTAACATTTACTTCGTTTGTAAGTTGTACCCGTAGTTTCCGGATTTCCTTAACAGCTTTCAGACGAATGCCATTTTCTTCGCAAAATTCTGCAAGCCGCCCTTTGCTATTGGCAAACTCTGCTGCTCCAACGGCACGCAGCAAAAGCATAGGGTCACCAAGCAGAAACAAATTACCCGTTCCAGCCCAAGCTTTCCTCTTTGAACGCCATTTTTGGTGATCTGTAGTGTCTTCGGATAGGGACACTTCCTGGAAAATTTCCTGAACAGACAAAGCAGCCACCATGCATATTGCATACGGGAGCAATCCATGTTGATGGCTTAGGGCTAGCATTTTGCCAAACCTCGGAGCAACGGGAAAGGCAGCAATAGTCCGACCAAGCTTGGTAATACGGCTAAGAGTGTGGGATTTGTTTTTGTTATTAACGATACTTTCTTGCAATGCATCCATCAGAATAAGTCGTTGTTCTGCCACTTCTAACTGTGTTCGGTCCGGTGGAGATGGGAAAGGAAAGTTAACAACCTTGTCGATTCCCATGCATTTCATATGCAGCATCAAATCATCGACCGGTTTCTTCTGAATCTCTGGCTCGGAAAATTCGACAAATTCATCATTATACACGGCACTTGAGTAGAGCCTATAGCAGTGGCCGGGACCAACTCTACCGGCTCGACCAGCACGCTGATTGGCGGATGCTTTGCTAATGTATGTTACTACAAAGGCCGTGACTCCCGTCACCTTGTCGTACAGTTTCGTCTTTTGTCGACCACAGTCAACTACATACTTGATATCGGGTATTGTGAGTGATGTTTCAGCAACGTTTGTGGCGACAACGCAGAGGCGGGTTCCTTCCGGTGGTTCTTCGAAAACTTTCTGCTGTTTCTCCGACGACAGTATTGAGTACAACGGCAGAACCCACAGCGGTTGATTATGGCTTAATTCGGAAGTACTTATATCTTCACCAAAATCCGACTCCAAATCGCTCATCTCATCTCCGCTGTTTCCCCCGGCCTCGTCTTCGTCCTCTCGTTGATCAGCTTCAGCATCATCCCATGGGAGCTGATAGTTGTCCAAGTTTATTTTCGGCAGCTCAACTCGTGCCATTTCTGTGGAAGATTGAGAAGGTTAGATGAACGATGTTGGAACTGATTGTTTAGTCTGCATTTACCTCCAAGAGATTCAGTCTGATGCTTGATCTTCTTTTTCCTTTTCTCTAATTTTGCTGCCTTTTTCGGGTTTACAATGCGCTGTAGCTCTTCGTCTTCTTCTTCAGAAACATCCGCAGATGGAGATTTTCCACCAACTTTATTTGCTACAGATGAACCTTTCCCTTTGTATGGAAACGCGTTACGCAGTTTATTTACCACATGATTAACCTCCTTCTGCCCGGTGAGAAAAATGAGTATCCCACCCTCCGGTAGTTTGGTGTGAATTTTGACCGTCTTCAAATAGGCTTCTCTAACATAGTCGCTAACTGTGGTTTTGCTGAAATGAACTGTTACAGGAAACTGCCGGGATTCTACGTTGATAACCGGGGGAATTTTGCTGAACAGCGACCGGTTTTCGGTGAAGTCTTTCACTCGCATCGTTGCCGACATGATTATCAACTTCAGTGGCTTGCCCTTCTTTGCACGAAGAATCACAACCCGCGAAAGTAGTCCAACAAGAATATCCGTATACACACTTCGCTCGTGAGCTTCATCCAGAATAATCACCGAGTATTGTGACAACAGGAAATCGTTTTCAATCTCCTTCAGCAACACACCATCGGTAACAAACTTGATTCTCGTGCGATCGGTTACGTTGCCTTCGAAACGAATCAAATAGGAAACCACGTCTGTGGATAGGTTCATTTCGATGGCCACACGTTTGGACATTGAGATGGCTGCTACACGTCGTGGTTCGGTGACAGCAATTAATCCACGATCAGAATTTGCAAATCCTGCTTCGTATAAAAATTGAGGCACCTGAGTTGTTTTACCGCTTCCGGTTTCTCCAGCCAATATAACGATTGAATTGTCGCTGATCGTTTCCATAATGATTTGCTCCTCAGCAAGAATGGGAAGCTTCAAACGAGCGGCCTGAATTGCAGCATCGCGCTCCACGTGAACATAAGTGGCCGGCTTTCTATCCACTTCCTTATTTGCTTTCTTTTCAGAAGGTTTGTCCAATTGTTCAGACTCCTGTGAAGCAGGACCGGGTTTGGATTCTATTTCGCAATGAACGTGTGGTACTGTTGCCTGAACTTGTTCAGATTCCTCTATCTTACTAGAAGTCCCATCTTCCATGGACGCACAATCTTCCGAATCTGTTTCTTCCGCTGAAGACGACGAGCTTTCGTTGTTTAAACTGATTGTATTCAAATCCCTTTTAGCTTCTTGGTCATTCTCCTCTCCATCATCATCATCCTGAGTTCCTTGTTGAGCTCGCAATAGTGCCAAGCGTTGTTTTCTCATCCCAACCAAGCTTTTTAGCTTCCGTTGGCCATCCTGACTTTGGGAATCCTCCGCCACTTTAGTTGGTTGTTCGATTACTACCCCATATTTTTGCTCCTTGAACAATTGCTTCAGACCTTTCGTTTGAACCGAACTGAGCTTGGTGTAGTTCTTGAGCTCCTCGGACGTTGCTTGCACTTCAGCCAATGCGCTTATCAAGGACGATCGATTTTCCTTTTTCCGTTTCTGGTCGACAATCTTCTCAAACCGTTTACGTTGTTTCTTGGACAGAATTTTCGTAACGACCGTTTTTTCACGTTTGATTTTAGTGGGCCGCTTTTGCGATGGTAGAACCAACATATTAGCATTGTCGGCTCCACCATACCCATCGTCTTGGGCGTTCAAATCTAGTTTTATCTAAAAAAAAATTCAAAGTGTAGATGCTGGAAGCACGTTGAAGATGTTAGGCATGAACATTCAAAATGTTACCTGTTTGGTTGCGGTGTCATCAATCACTGTTTCGACTTGCTGCCGACCTTTTTCATTGAACCGTCTTTTACCCATATTTGAGAATAGTTTTAATTGGGGCTTAGCACCAATCAAAATTAAGAATTAAAATATATTGTGCTGAAAACCTCTAATAAACCAATCATCGACTCAATTTTTTTCGCACTGTTTTATTTATTTACCATCAATTGCACGTGCGTTGCGACTCTGTCAAATGAAGCTGTCAAGGGCATACCCATGTGGCAAAATTGTGAACACATGGTAAAATTAGAGTCGGTGTATAATGTCACGCCAAGAGAAAAACAGTTGAACTGGTTGAACTCGCATCACGATTTTCGAAAGATTCCCTTTCTTTTAACTTGACAACAGAAGACATCTACATCAACTTCAAATGACTTCTAGCGAGAAAAAATAATAGCGGCTGTAGTAAATCATTATATCAGTGATTTTGTCAAATTCTTAACAAAAAATAGTAGAAATTCTCTTCACTGATCATTACCAAACGTATCCCATGACAATTGAATGCTCACTGCGTGTTTATTATCATTTCTTCGATTATATTTTATATTTTATTGCAATACCTTTCGTGGACCTTTCATAGCATCGTAATGTTTCTTTACTTTGCACGATAGGTAGCTGGTTTGACAGTTCGATTGGTAAAATAAAAATGACTCGAAAAATACAGGGGAACGACACATCCTCATCCAACATCCATTTTATTCTCAAATCCATAGTAAGCAAATACCATAAATGGTTTCGATGAAACCCTAAACACGTCTTTAAGCAAAATAACCATTAAAATATTATTAGGGGTCCACATTCTCATCTGTATATCAACGAAAAAACATTCTGAAGTTTTTTCTGTACCTGTTATCCATTTTCTATTTTTATGCATCCCTGTCTATTTTGTTTGCATGATATCCTTAACACCCTGTTTTCGATCTATATTCTTTCCATCCAGCTAGCATGCCATAGCAGCGCTGTCAAGTCTTTTTTGAAATAAAAAGCATCTGAATACTCAATGAGTGTCGATCCCCCTGGATTCCAACGTAAATTTTTCGAAACTTTTGTCGTTTCCGATTTTGCTACAATAAACCGGTGTATAGTGTAAGCAGCATTAAGCTCGAGTCATTGACAGCTCAACATAATTTGTTGGTAGACAAAGGTGCATTTTGGCTCAGCTCTGGTACTATCTTCGGTCCCAAGCAAATCGATTCACCCCTCGGAACATAGGAAAATCCACTAACCCCTCATTTTATTTCATAGTGAATCAAAACAAACATAGTGTAGTACTAGAATTTATACTATAGAATGGGACACGTAAATCGATTTGCTTGGGACTAATAGGCTAGTCAAGTAGTCAGCCAATTTAAAATCGATAGTTCGTATTGATTGTTCGTGCAACTGTCAAACTTAGTTAATCATTTTCTTTTATACACAGCCTACTACCATAGAGGTAACTCTAAGACCACTGGGTCCCGAAGAAAATCATTATTATTTTTGGCTCACTCAGTACCAGAACAACGGTCCCAAGCAGTCCCAAGCTATTTCACTCACCCCTGAATGTTCTGCATGAATCCACACACCCCTGATGTTATCTGTCAAACTTTCATAGCGAATCAAAACAAACATAGTGTAGTAATAGAATTTCAACTAGAATAGGGTACGTTAATCGTTTGCTTGGGACCAATAGGCTACTAAAGTGGTGAGCCAATTTAAAATCGTTAGTTTCGTATTGATTGTTGCTACTACCAACAATCAATACGAAACTAACGATTTTAAATTGGCTCACCACTTTAGTAGCCTATTGGTCCCAAGCAAACGATTAACGTACCCTATTCTAGTTGAAATTTTATTACTACACTATGTTTGTTTTGATTCACTATGAAAGTTTGACAGATAACATCAGGGGTGTGTGGATTCATGCAGAACATGCAGGGGTGAGTGAAATAGCTTGGGACTGCTTGGGACCGTTGTTCTGGTACTGAGTGAGCCAAAAATAATAATGATTTTCTTCGGGACCCAGTGGTCTTAGAGTTACCTCTATGCTAAAGGGTGATACGGTCAAAATTTGGTCAAGGGAAAACGCGTGTAAATCGGTGAAATCGTTTATTTAAAAAATAAAATTAAATTTCTTTTTCAAGTTCAATTAGTATAAAATTCAGGAAAAATATTCAGTTAGGCTTCCGCTTTTCCAAATCCGAATTGCCGGGCCTTACGCTTGACCCCTGCCATCAGATTTTGTACAGCCACCTTGTTCACCTTCTTCGCCGCAGAAAGCCAGTTTGCCTTGAACTGCTGCTCGCCCTTAGCAGTTTTTTTGGTCTTCTTTAGGTTCCGCTTGACAATAGCCCAGTATTTCTCAATTGGGCGGAGCTCTGGCGTGTTGGGAGGGTTCTTGTCCTTGGGAACCACCTGCACGTTGTTGGCGGCGTACCACTCCATGGCCTTTTTACCGTAATGGCAAGATGCCAAATCCGGCCAAAACAGTACGGAACAACCGTGTTTCTTCAGGAAAGGCAGCAGACGTTTATTCAAACACTCTTTCACGTAAATTTCTTGGTTGACAGTCCCGGAAGCTATGAAAATGCTGCTTTTCAAGCCACAGGTACAGATGGCTTGCCAAACCAGAGATTTTTTTGCGAACTTTGACAGTTTCATGTGCTTGAAAACATCTGCTACCTTTCCCCTTCCTTTTGCCGTATAAAACTCCTGTCCCGGAAGCTGCTTGTAGTCGGCTTTGACGTAGGTTTCGTCGTCCATTACCACGCAGTCAAACTTCGTCAGCATCGTCGTGTACAGCCTCCGGGATCGCGCTTTGGCCGTCGTATTTTGTTTATCATCGCGATTTGGAGTCACTACCTTCTTGTAAGTCGATGGTCCGGCTCGTTTTTTGGCTCGATGCACGGTTGTAGACGATACACCCAGCTTATTTGCGGCATCTCGGAGAGAGAGGTTAGGGTTTCGCTTGAAACTACCGGCAACTCTCTTTGTCGTCTCAGCGGCTTCCGGTTTTCGATTTCCCCCCGATCCAGACTTCCTGGCTGTCGACAAACGTTCCCCAAACACATTAATTACATTTGTAACGGTTGATTTGGCAACTTTTAGCGATTTTGCCAACTTTGCGTGCGAGTAGCTCGGATTTTCGCGATGCGCGAGCAAAATTTTGATACGCTGCTCTTCTTGCTTGGACGGCATTTTGACAACTGAAGAGTGAATTCCAAAATCAAAATAGGAGCAACATTCTACACACACACACCTTCAAAATGAGGGGTGTTCAGGTTTTTTAAATGCAAAATTGAAAGAAATACGTCAAGTTGATATTGACCAAATTTTGACCGTATCACCCTTTACTACGGTATGAGCTATAGGTTACGTGCATGCAAAGAAAACCAAGGCATTATATGCACAGGTGAAACGGGGACCTTATTTGTACGATGGTGCAAACATTATATATATACGAACGAAGTCAATGAGAACGCGTGGTATGAAAGTTTGCACCCATTATTCCCAAAAACAAAAGAAGCTCTCCGACTGAATCAATTTTTATTTTTATCCGATAGGCCGAAGTGAATTCATTAGCGTTTCAATGGCGTTTCAATGCGTTAGGTCGAGTTTAGAATCCGTAGGCCGAGTTTGGCGTTAAGAAGCAGTGTTAGACTTTTGACAATATCTCAACGATTGGTTTCTCTTTATCAAATCTTATGGTACGTACGAATAAATTTGGAAGCCATCAGTGATAATAACATTCCGTTTGGTGCTAAATTGCGTTATATTAAGAAAGACTAAGTATGGGTTTTGCTTATTAGGTCGGAAAAGGGGTAGTTGACCCTACCTTGTCTTTCTTGGTAAAATTATTTAACAGATGTTTCCATTTGGCATACTTTCCTGATAAATGAAAAAATGCAAAAGTTGTTCCAACTTTGAAACCGGATAAAAATCCAGATGAAACTTCTAGCTACCGTCCAATAAGTTTGCTTTCTTCAATAAGTTAGAAGAAAAGTTAATTTTAAATAGAATATAATAATAATAATATAATCAATATAAACTCAATTTTTGCAGATGAGCAGTTTGAACTTCGCCATGGGCATTCAAATACTCATCAACTCTTAAGAGTTACCAATTTAATTCGTTCAAACAAATCTGAAGGCTGCTCACCTGGAGCCTTCGACAGTGTTTGGCATGAAGGTTTAATTACCAAATTGAAAAAGTTTAATTTTCCACTGTATATTATGTAATTAGTTCAAAATTATTTAACTGACAGAACTCTGCAGGTAAATTATCAAAATTCCAAATCTGAACGACTACCTGTTAGAGCAGGAGTTCCTCGGGTAGCATTCTTGGGCCTATATTGTATAACATTTTCACTTCAGACATCTCTGATTTGCCTCAGGGCAGGGTTAGGAGTCAGGGTTGCCACAAATCTTCGTTCGCTGATGATACAAGCATTTCCGCTAAAGGAAGAAGTCTTCGTGTTATTTGCAGCAGACTGCAGAAAAGTTTAGATATTTTCTCTTCTTATTTACAAAAATGGAAGATTTCTCTCAAACTCAACTTATACTATTTCCACATAAGCCTAGAGCTTCCTTTTTGAAACCTAGTAGTAGGCACATAGTCACTATAAACGGAGTTCCAATTTCCTGGTCAAACCAAGTGAAATATCCTTTAATAAGTATTAGTACTTGACCAAAAAATTAACTTTTAAAGATCACATTGAAGCCAAATGTTATAAACAGGAAATCCAAACGTTGCCTGACGAATAAACTTCTAATATTTAAACAAATTTTTAGACCGGCATGTTTTACGCTGTGCCAATATGGTCAAATTGTTGCACCACCAGGAAAAAAGCACTTCAAAGGATTCAGAACAAAGTTCTGAAGATGATTTTGAAGTTGACTCCCTGGTACAGCACTACCGAGGTAAATAGAATTTCGAATGTTGAGACTTTAGAACAAATGTCCAACAAAATAATTAATTTCAGGCAAAAATCGTTGCAATCCTCAATTGCAATGAATAATTCCCTTTATACTTAGATAAGATTTAGTTTTAGTTTTTAGTTTTAAGATTTTAAATTGTTTTACTGACATGCAGGTTAAAAAAACTGTTTAAAGACAGGAAGAATGTAAAAAACACTTTGATATATATATCATACAAATTAGGGCTGGTAAGTTACTGTAGTAACTGGAGCACCTAGGTTAAAATGAAATGTAATTTATTTTGATTTTGGAACAAATAATGAGTTACAAAAAAAGATTTTCCTTAAGATTTCTATGATGTTTCTATAATAGTGGAACTCATAAGAAACTAATGCGTTTCACTATTATAGGAACCACAATTAGCAACTACCACTACTACTGGAACAGTGTTCCTAAGTTTTCGAAAAATGTATCCACTTTAATCACGATATTTTTCTAGCAAAATAGAGATTGAAAGCTATAGACGGACGTATAAAAATTGAATGTACATCGTTTATTTATTTTTCAATACATAAATTATCTTAGTTCCTCCACTACTGGCTCAGCCACCCTAATACAAATTTAAATGGGTAAACATCTCTTTGTACTTAATCCCCCACATGTGAATTATCCCTAATTAACCCTCATGTGCCTAATTAACCCGCCGCGAGTGTTAGTTTTTTTGGTGTGAGCAAAGAGTCCCGATTTCCCATAGTACCTCCCCTCTGGAGTGAATTTACCACCCCTCCCAATAATACAATTCAGTAGTGCGCGAATTTAATCGATTAGTGTTACCTCTTTACTTCGGGGCCGCCGCTGTTTTGTTGTTGGCGGTGGTTTTCTGGCAAAGCAACATAAACGGATCTCTGGTGAGTTCAAACTGAGCGTTTCGTTTCAGGGAACTGGGCGGGGGTTGTCGTAATGGCGGCGAACCCGGGTTTTCCTCCGCGAGCATGATCAAAATGCACCAACTTTGCCGTATTTTATGAACCCTGAAGGGAACCACGGGGAAGTGCGCATCTTGCGTTTGCAAGGCGTGATGCCAGAAGACAACACCCAAGCCACCCGGTTATGATCCGAAAATCGGTTCAAAAGCACTTGATTGCGAAGATAGAGGGAGGTTTTCCGGAAGCCCGCGGAGCTACCTACGCGCTTAAGGTGCGGAGTGGAGAGCATTATAAGAAAATGCAGCAACTCAAAATACTCCGCACCCTTCGTTGAACTCCACGAGGTTTGTGGTCAGCTGTCAAGATGCCATCAAAGAGACAGAACAGGACCTGGTTGCTGACCTCAGCGATCAAGGCGTAGAAGAAGTGCGACGTATCACACGATGGGACGGATCAGGTCAGGTCAACACGGCGACCCTCATTGTGACCTGTCACGGCACGTGTGCACCTGAATACATACACACTAAGATTTTTTTTACAGTAAACTGTAAATTTTTACCGAATATGGAACAGCTGAACTTTCGGTAATCCATTCGGTAATTTTTCAATTTACAATCCGTTCGGTAAATTTTCTTCGCTTACACACCAAATTTTTTTAATCTTGTTCGGTACTTTTTTTGTTGGATTTGTTCAGTGAAATATATTTTTTACCGAATGCTTTGTAATCAATATTATTTTACCAATTTTCTGCAATCATAACTGCTGAATATCCGTAATTTGCAGAAATTTACCGAAAACTGTAAATCAAATTTGCTGATTGAAACTGTAAATGGTTGCGATTCCACAATTCTGTAAAAATTGTAACGAATATACTGTAAAAATAATCTTTTACAAAAACAAACTGCAATGTACAGCATTTCCGTAAAACTTACTGAACAACATCGAAATGGCAGCAAAGGTTGTGGTTGACAGTACAAAGTTTACAAATCTGTTCAGTAAGTTTTACGGAAATGCTGTACTTTATTGCAGTTTGTTTTTGTAAAAGATTATTTTTACAGTACATTCGTTACAATTTTTACAAAATTGTGGAATCGCAACCATTTACAGTTTCAATCAGCAAATTTGATTTACAGTTTTCGGTAAATTTCTGCAAATTACGGATATTCAGCAGTTATGATTGCGGAAAATTGGTAAAATAATATTGATTACAAAGCATTCGGTAAAAATTATATTTCACCGAACAAATCCAGCAAAAAAGTACCGAACAAGATTTAAGAAATTTGGTGTGTAGGGTACACGCGGTATCTAACTCGTCCGTACTATCCGTCGCCCATGCAGTGCTTCAACTGCTGGGCGTTCGGCCATACCAAGCTCCGGTGTAGAGTTGCAAAAGCAATTTGTGGGAATTGCTCGGGTGATCACCCGATCGCCAATGACGTCATCGATAGTCACCTACTGAACGGTCTTGAGATGACGTGCATCGCCACCGAAAAGCTCGTGCAGATACTAGCACCAACTTTCAACACTTACGTTTGGATTGGCTCCGGTCTTCGTCCGTCAACGCCCGCCGATGCCGCATGCATCGAAGCGGGTATTCTGCCCTTCCGCCATCGTATAACCGCAGCAATTGCAACGAAAGCCACTGCCTTTACAGCAATGACCTCCGAAAATGACAGGATCTTTCTCCTCGATGAGGGGAACAGACTCCTCCACATGACTGCCAATTCGGAGCTCCCCCCAATGGCCAAGGTCCACTGGTACGGAGACAAAAGTTGGCGCATACCTCCACCAAAAATCGAGAGTCGGATAAAGACCAGGTTCAAGGCTGGAGATAACTCTGCTGCCCTGAGGAGAACAGTAGCCGAACTGCTAGGCTCGGACTACCCAACCCATGCCCACATATACACGGACGGATCGCTTTCCCGAACCGGGGTCGGAATTGGAGAAGCCGGAATTTCAGCACCGATGAGTAGAAGCATACCGCCACAATGCTCGGTTTTCTCCACCGAAGCTGCGGCCATCTTTGTTGCCGTTACAACATCCTCGGACCGGCCCATATTAGTGCTATCCGATTCCTACAGCGTGATACAAGCCCTTACATTTGAGACCCTGACTCACCCCTGGATACAGGGTATTGTGGAGGCCACACCTCCGAACGCGGTGTTTTCCTGGATCCCTGGACATTGCGGTATTCCAGGAAATAGCGAAGCCGACAGCCTGGCAGGGTCTGGACTAGCTGGCCCCGTTACACCGACGAAGTGGCTCTACAGGACATAAAGCTATGGATAGTCAGCAAAATGTGGGAAGCCTGGGAAGCAGAGTGGTGCCAATACCAATCCCTCTTCATCCGAAGAATCAAAGGAACGACAAGCAAGTAGACGGATATGTCGAAACTACGGGACCAGAAGGTGGTTTCTCGTCTTAGGACAGGCCACGAGGATCTCACATAGTTTTGGTGGGACGCAGTTCCACAGCATGTGCTACGTTTGCGGAACCACTGCATCGGTGGAACACATCCTATGCCTGTGTCCGCAATACCAACAACTACGGGAGCAGTACGCACTTCCCAACAGCATTAGGGACATACTGGGCGACGAACCTTCCACTTTAGCGACAGTTATTTATTTCCTCAAGGACGCTGGGTTATACAATAACATTTAGGTCCTTTTAACTTTCTTTTGGCTGACGGGACATCTCTGCCAGACGGGGCATTACCCCTCCTACGGTGGAGCTCCGATACCTTTCAAAACTCTACATAACTTTGATGTACCAGATTGCTTTTTTTTCTCGTTGCCTGTATTGTTAGTCTTTTTACTGGAATCTGTTTTAATTGCTTTTATTTGAGTACATGTGAATTGTAAGCCAACTCCGTTACAAAATTTGCAAGCAGAACCCCCCTCTGGGGCCTCTTATTTTATAGAGATGAACTAGACAACGGCTAAAAATCTCTCTAATAAAGTTTAAAATAAAAACTCATGTGCGTAAAGATTGTGTTATTCTTTTTCTGCCCCGTGTTATGAAAATGGGTGCTGGGTACCCAGATAACGGTTAAACTACCGTGACTTATAAACCCTGCTTTCTAGGATATAAATCTCAAAATATTCGTGGTAAAGTTCGAGTGGTAGGAAACATAATTTTAAACTACTCGAATTATGTGATTGTTGCTGCTAGAAAAATACGATAAAAAAGGCAATCATATTACAGCCAGTTTTCCTAGGTACCTTAAAATGGCCACAAACTTCATTCAAGATAACGATATTTGGAGTAATGAAACACAATTCAATCCTCATTTATTAACCGTACCAGTAGTAGGATGTAAGTAGAATTTCTTTCGAATAAAATATTATAATGTTCATATTGTCAAAATTTTATTGTATTTCGAGTTATGATCAGGTAATCAACAATGCAGCAATTCTGTATGCTTTGTAATAAATAACGGTATAGTAACGCGGTTAAAATAAACACATATGCTTGAAACTGGAAGTCATAGAAAATAGTAAATTGCCTGTGTTACTGCACGTGAAGCTATTTTAGAACTCATGTTTCGAAATGCTTATAAATTGCCGTCACATATCCCATTACTTGTTGCCAGTCTGGCCGTTCTAGCTGGCACATGTCGTCAATACTCTGTGGGAAAAGGAGCATTTTAAATTTTAGATAAATTATTACGCATCATGCACACTACAAGTACGAAAACGCTTACAAAAGTGCGCTTTTACGTAAAATCATGGAATGTAAAAAGCGGACTTTTATTCGCGATTCTGCACTTTTTAGGAATCCAGTTTCAAATACAAAATATGTATAATAAAAAAAAAACACACTTACCAAGGATGTTGGTATTCCCACGCTTTCGGCAGCTGCGAAAGCTAAGCTAAAGTTGCGTCGCTTGTCGTTTGGACTTAATTTATCATAAGGGATGTGATCAGGTAGATAGGAGTGCATGATTGCGCACAATGCGAGGCCATCGTTCCAGGAGGAACTGAAGTTAGTTATATCTATATTTCGATAGCCGACAGTCTTATTTTGACACCACTTCAGCAAGGCATTGCGCTTTGAGCCTCCATTTTTCACGAGCGCGTTCAACGGGTCCTTACGGTCGCCTGAAGGAATCAAAAGAGAAGTGAACGAGAAGTATGTAAATGAGATAAATGAATTGAGTAGTATTTTAATATTATTTAACTGCTATCGCTATCTTGATTGCTTATTCAAGGCGATACATAATCCGCGTAGGACAATTAGAAGTATCTTGGGCACATACATGTTTTTTCGTAGTGCTTATTCTGTGTGTCACGTGACTCTGTCACCAGTGATTTGACAATTAGGTGTTTCATGCTGCTTCTTACAGTACTCACTACCAAAGGGCGAGCCGTCTTTCATCGTAATATGGGCTGGTGGTAAATCGACTTGAGAATGTATTGCAAAATTTACAATTAATTAAAAATATCAATAATGGTGCAATTTGTCTGATTTATTATTTCTGCAAAATAAAGATAATCAATCAAGTATTTCTGCATAATGCCACTATTACTAAAAAGAACAAAATGTCGAAATTTTATCACCGCTAGAAGCAAGGTTTGAAGAGAACTCGACGGCTTTTCGAAAATCTCCATACCGCAATACTGGTATATCCACCATTGCCGGGGAAACATCTGTCGGATTTCTGAAACTATTACTCCATTGTCACCTCGTGTGATCAAATGCATAGTCACCTCACATGAGGTGACAATTGTCACCTCACCGGTGAGAGAGAGTCACGTGGCTCGCAGAATATGGGGGAGTGTTATTGTTAAAACTAATTTCCAATCATTTTAGATGAATTACAACACAGATAAACCGGAAAAAGTTCTATCTCGTGATTTTTTGCTTTTGTTGTGTGTCATCAAAGTTTACAAATTTTACAAAAAATCTGAAAATCGTTCAAGATTATAGAAGATTATTCTACACAGCCAATGAGATCCAAACCAAACTGAGTCGAATTCGACTAAAAATTGAGTAAATTTTTCCTCATTTTACTAGTATACTGATAGACTCAATAAACTTTCCATTAATTTTCCTAATATTCGAGCTGGTTTTTTAGGGAAATCGAGGCAATTTAAGTCGAATTAAAACTCAATTTTGAGCTACTCTCATCGACCGTGTCCATTACCCATAATGTCATTTCCCAGAATTACACAATAGTGTTCCAGTTACCCGGCGATGGAAGTGAAAAGTGATAGTTACCTTATATCGATGTATACCAGGATAGAAATAACCATAACATAACAATGAAATAACAATAAAATACAATACATTATATTGTTGACAATTAACCCTACTGTAATTGTGTTGCATTGGTCAAATGACCAAATTGTTACCACAATAGGTTTATAATAAATTCAATGTTTTTCTTCATTCCTTTATTTAACGTCGGTCTCTGTTCCGAAATCTAGTGCCAATCACCGACGGACATTGATTGCCATCCATTGACGGCAATCGAATATGCAGGAAGGCGTAGGATATCGCACACATGGGCCGCGACCAACAGCTTTACTTCCCTTCTGAAGGAAGACGTGACCAGAGATTTTTATGCCTCAGAAAAATCCCACCGACCTTGGCTTGGATTGAACCCAGACCCATTGAGGTGAGAAAGTAGTCACGCTTACCACTACACCACCGGCGTCGGCTTTATTCAATGTTATCAAAGTATTGATCAATAAAAAACAATAAAGTTTATTGTAATGAGATCAAATTTTATGGTTACATTAACAAGCAACTCCTCTTTTCTATTGTAAAAGTTTAATTTACCATAATAATCTAGTGTGCATATCAATAAGTTCTATTGTATTTTTATTGTTTTTGGTAGTAAAATGTATCGTTGGTACAATTAATTTTAGTGAATTGTGACAATAGGGTCTAATGCTTTTCTATGGTACATTTTTATTCGGGATACCTTTACCCCGAATATAAAAAAAATCAGCAAGAAGGCAGAATTTTATTCGGAGTAATGGCGTTCGGTGTAGTGACTTCGGGGTAATGTAGAACAACCATGAAAAATGTTCTCAATTATCAAATATGGAAGTCCTAAAAAAAATTAAGATGAGGTCGGCGTCCATTTGGAACATAGTAGACAACGAAAAAATAGAGAAATAAACTACCGTGCCAGCATCACATTTGACGTGTTCCTAATGATGACGCCCTCGTCTATTTTTGATCGAATCTTGCAGTAGTAACATTTCAAAAATATAGATTAAAATAGTCGAAAATTATTGAGTTCGACGAGTTAGGAACCGCTTCAAATATGGTGCCCCCATGGAACTATTCCTACGGCCAGGGTCCTGTGGCTTTAAGAATTTGTTGATTATTAACAACTTGTTTCAGAAAATTATTATGGCAGGCTTCAGAGAACGCGGCAAACATTTTAAATCGTATGTTAAGTACATATGAAAACATAACAATCAATGAAAGCAACAAAACAATAGGGCATATAAGAAATAAAAGAAATAAACTTCAAGACAGAAAAAAATATTATAAAAATATAAAAAATAAATCTAAAACATACTTATGTCGCCGTAGCTGTTTCGTCGAACGTAGTCCATCGTTTTGTGTGACAGTATCGATGCAGTAACATGGTCATCGGTTTGTTGTTTGAACAATTTTCCGGAGTGATTATAACTATTACTGATCAGAGTGGAGACTTTGTTGTTGCAACTAATGTTATTATTACTGTAATTACTATTGTTATTATTGCTACTGTCAAGATTACTGCTGCTGTTTGCGATGATATTTTGAGTTTTAATCAGCAATACTGTATCTATAATTGAGACAAATAAAGAAACACAATCAAAAAAGGCAAAACAAAAGCAAATCATATATAAAAACACTTAACAGAACACTATTAGTAATAGACATGAATCGATACAACACACAACACATGTATAGGATGTAAATAATTGTTACTCACATGCATTTGATTTTAAACGTTGACATTACTATTTTGTAGCACCGCTTAAAAAGTCATTCATTTCCCTTCTCATATGTACAATAGACAATCTTCCCAAGAATAAGTACAAGTGCTTGTATACATATTAATATGTAATGGTGGCGCTGATTCACTGCATCTCTTGTTATGTCTTATATGTCAATAATGAAAAGTTTAAAACCAATAAAACCAATAGGAAATGTTAATTAATAATCAACTTGCACGCGTTGGTACATCGATTGCGAAGATAGTTTTTTTTTTACAATTTCCGAGCGTACTGACCAAATCAATACCAACGATCACGACATCAATGTGAAATCTACACAGAACAACTTATACCGAGAAAAGTATTCATATGTACAGAGAGGTTTCGATTTTATCACGGTTAATTTTTGTTTTTCGCGTGATGTATTTGAAACCCTTCTAATTTAACATTGAAATTACTGTCTTTCTATTTAAATGTTGATTGATTTCGTTTATTTAAGAGATTTGTAAACCTTAGGCTGGTTCATCTAATTTTTTGACAACATGAAATAAATATTGTTAATAATTCAAAACATAACACGATTATTGCTAATGCAATTTTCTTAATGCAATCCAACTTTTCATTAATTGAAGACAACGTATAAACAACACTGGCATCTCTGTCAGCATTTAAAGCACAACTATGAAAGGTGAAACCAACGGATAGAAAAATTAGCAAATACGCCAACCTCTCTTTTGCGGTTGACATCTTTGCTATCAAATTCGTTCTGAGCTCTAACCTTTTAGTTACCAGTCTTCTTGTGTATTTTTCGTTAAATCATAAGTTAGAATTAATGTGCCAGTCAGTGCCTTAGCTCAGTCGCAGCTACAAAGCAAGACCATGCTGGGTTCGATTCCCGGTTCGGTCCGGTCTAGGATTTTTTCGGGTTGGAAAATTTCTCGACTTCAATTAGCATAGAGTATGATTGTACTTGCTACACTATTATACTAATTCAAAAAGGATACAGGCATCGAAAGCTCCCAACTAATAACTGTCGAATTGCATCTTAGAACACTAAGTTGAGAGCACGCACAAAGCTAATATGCGATAAGCTTGAAATACGAAGAAGAAGAAGAAGAAGAAGAAGAAGTGTGTTAGTCATGAATATACGTTCCTATCCCATATGTAATAGTTGAAACATTTCATAATATGAAACTATAGCCGTGACTTATATGCACCATTTAATCGCATATCAACAGACATAATACATTTATGATGATAAGCTCCAACCGGTATTATCCACGCATTATATCAAGATTTAGAATGTCCGGTTGCTTTGATGTCGACATCAGAGTTAATCAACACTCTAATGTCGTTTTCGTTTTTGCTACACTACACCGGTATATAGTGTAGGAGCAATAAGCACGAGTCATTGACAGCTCATCATCATTTGTTTGTAAACAAAGGTGCAACCGGTAGCTACACCCTGATTTTTTTCGGTGTTCGGCGGTGTAGCACCGGTGTAGCTACACCGCAAAAACTAAAACGACATAAGCCAACATTTTGCAGATCATCAGAACAGGTTTGCAATTGTTTAAAGCCAGATATGTTTTATATCAGTTCTTCTACAAGGTGATACATACAAACGAAAATCAATATGAAAGTGTTTATAAGATTTTGCTTAATTTTAATGATGATGATGATGGTCCCACCTCTTACCCCTACAAAGGTTTGAGCTGGACGATTTATCTTTAAGATAATTAAATGACATTTTACCCAGGTTAGCAAACAAAATCGAACTGGTTTCAGTTACAGATATAAATTCCATCTAGAGTTTACAGTTGCTTCACAGCGATATAAATGTGGAAAAGCTCAGGCGCCCACCTCTTAGCTCGCCTTTTTGTCCACCTAAAATATTCATAAGTTTCAAGCAATCAAGAGTTAATGAAAAATCAACAAAGCTTCCTATTACACTAGCAACCCCGCAATCTGATGCTATCATAATTTTCAGCAATGTCAGGAATGCCCCCCCAACATTTGCCAGAAAACTTACTACTAACTCAAGGTATCTTCCAAATAAGCTTCAAAATTGCATTTTTTTTTTTATCAAATGTTAAATTCAGTCCTCTATATCCGTAATACGCGCGCGAGGCTCAAACCTTTGTAGACTACTTTTTTTTAATTAATCTACTATTAAATCAAATATTAAAAATTCATCATCACCATCGTGGCGAACAGAAATAGTTTTTGCAGTGCTACAATAATTATTAAAAAGTCGTTATGACAGCTATCCATATAAAATAATCCGTTAGAGATAACTTCGTCAAGATACATAATTTGTCAGTTTATAAACAAATCACTGGATAACTGTTCAAAAGACAGTTGCTTAACGTTTGATATGTCTAGGCATCGAATTGAAAACATTTATTCCTTTATAATATAATGAACTTTGTGAAGCACAAGTCAAGAAATGTGGTGTTCTTATTTCAACCGCGTTTCTAGTATTATATCTATGAAAGTCAATTCCTCTTTCGATTCGATCACCGAACACCATAGTCAAATATACAATTCTTTGCTTCACCGACAACCATTGTAAAGCGTCTAGCATCAAAGTTGAGGAAGTGAATCTATTGCATCTCAAAATAAAACGCATTATTTTATTCTGCAAGCGCTGTCATCTCGATATTTGTGTTGCATTGGCCAGAAATAAAATGGAAGGGCAATAGTCTAGATGAGGAGAGATGATTGATTTGTATAGCTGTATTTTACTGGCAATAGTTAAATCGTTTTTCAGTCAACAAGGAATTCCATACTTCTTGGCAATTTTCTTGATGACATTGTCAATGTGACAATTGAACTTACGTTTGTCATCAATAATCACGCCAAGATATTTAATCTCGCGAACGCGAACAATAGTCATTTAATCGATTCCACGAAATTACCATAAATTTAGTTTTACTTGTATTCAATTTCAACTGCTTATACTTCAACCATCTACTAAGAGAAAGCAAATCTTCATTCAAGTGTAAAACGACATCATCTAAATCCTTAGCCGCAATGAATAACACAGTATCATCTGCAAAAAGATTAATATCGCAAAATCATAAAACACGTCGCAAGTCATTAATATACATAATAAATAACAGGGGCCCTAATACACTTCCCTGGGGCACTCCAAGGTTATTCCCCACGGGACTGCAAACAGAATCATTAAAAACAGTCCGTTGAGTTCTGTCAGACAAATAGCTTTCAAACCCCTTATATGCAGTACTCGTAATTCCAAAGCGCTTGATTGATCTTAACAATAAGGGCCTAGAAATTGTTTCAAAAGCGCGTTTAAGATAAAAAAAAACAGCAACAGTCGTATCACTTACACTTCAAGTTATTTTTCCACTTCGCTAATACCAAATTCAACGCGGTTTCACAAGAATGACCTTCCCGATATCCCGATTGTTCTGGTATCAACAAACTATTACTATTTAAGAACTCCAACAGCTGGCCTTTAACAACAAGTTCTAAAATTTTCTCTAATGTGTGCAACATGTTGATGGGACGAAACTCTTCGGCTTTAATCGTTCCAGCAACTTTTTGAATAGGGACCACTAAGGATTCCTTCCAAATTTGTGGTACATGTCCAGTTTGTAATGATTAATTAATAAGGTCCAGCAAGATGTGGCCAATGACATGAAAGCAATCTTGAATAACTCTAGCATTAACATTATCTACTCCAGCCGATTTTCCTAATGAAAAACAAATAACTCTAAGTTCATCTAATGTAATTGGGTGAAAAACTTCATATCTACAACTACTATTAACTGGCTGTTTTATTTCGTCAGGTTCATCGACCAATTCAATGGATTGATTAATCAATGAAACACTGCCTACAAAATAATCATTAAACTTAGCTGCAATTACTTGTTCTGATTGTTCTAATGTGTCATTAAAAGTTATGGACCGCGGTTTGCAATTATTAGGTTTTAATAAAGATTTCAAAATTTTCCATAACTCTTTGCTGTTGTTTTGATGCTGATCTATCTTCCTTTGAACATATTCACAACGAGTTTTCTTTATCGATTGTGAATACTTATTACGCGCGATTGTGTACCTATTCCAATGATTGTCATTATTTGATCTAAAAAACTTTTTGTACCATTTGTCCCTTTTCCGTTTAAGATGCAAAAGATCCAAATTGTACCAGCTGTTCTTCAAAGAAACAAACTTTTGCTCAACTAGTTGATTAGTACACGTTTTCAAAGCGTTATTAAGAACAGCTGTAGATTCATCTAAGTTAGCGGCCGCAAATGGAAAATCCACGCTCCTCTCAACAAGATTCGAAACAGCTTTCTTCGAATATTTCCTCCAGCACTTCAATTTACAACATTATCGTTATCGTTAACATGGTCTAAGACATTAATCACTAAGGTCTCATGATCGGTTATTTTCAAATCAGTATCCGTAACTGAACAAATGGAATCAAAATTGGAATAAACGTGGTTAATTAAAGTTCTACTGTGCCTGGAAATACGCGTATATTCTTTGACCGTTTGGTTTAAATTAAAAAAAAAACTCAGCTAAACGTTTCAAATGATTCGAATTATGGTTATCACGCCAATGAATATTAAAATCACCAACCAATATATTTAATTTACTAGAATCAAGGAATGTCTCGAGCCAGATCTCTAAAACTTCAACAAAACGCTGGTCACTAGAACTGGGAGAATGTTACAAAACACCATAATTACCCATCTTCTACCAGTTGCCATCAATAACTTCGTTGGTACGAAGGTTGAATTGATAAATAGTTTTCGGTGTTAGTTTTCGTCCCACGATTACAACTTTTGAAAATCGACAATCATATCTCAAAAATTCTGATACTTTCTAATAGCGTAAGTTTTAGCTATTCAGTGACAGTTTTCATAAAATTTGAATTGAATATACACATATACAGGTACAGAGGTAAGCACATATCATCGGTAAGAGACGAGTGTGTGAGAAAATTTGCGATTTTACCGATGATATGTGCTTAACTCTCAGTATTTTCTAACTTTCGTATAAACAAATAAAACTTACTACAAGTCGTTAACCGTAATCAAAAATTAATTTGATCATCACTATGGCCTGGTCGCGGTGGTCGGAGGTGAGGCCAACATCTTATTGCTCCATTCATACTGCATTGGACATCCCTTATCCAACATGTATGATATAGAACACATACGATCTGTGTTTGTTCACATCGACCGATACTGAGTGGTTGCGGTACAAGCACATATCGTCGGTAATAGACGATTGGTGTGTACTAGAGAACGCTTGCGCAAAAAGACTAGGGAGGGAAACGGATTCGAAACTCAAATGTCATTAGCCAAATACATCCGTAGACCATAGGTCCACCGTTGCATAATTGGCAATGCACCCGTGTACTGAATGGGAATTGTGGGTTCGAATCCCACCACAATTTTATCACACATACGTCTCTTACGATGAGATGTGCTTACCTCTCAGTATCTTCTAACTTTCGTATAAACAAATAAAATTGACTACAAGTCGTTAACCGTAATCATAATCTGACAAATGTAAAGGATACTCTAAAGGCTTCTACGTATGTGTATAAAGAGGATCCCTCAGAAAAAAACTTGTTTGTTTACGCGAGAAAACGAATAGATGAAAATAGTAATTTTTTGTATAAAAAATGCATTTTTTGAGATACTTGCTTTGATGGTTCATTCTGAAGTTATGGGTTTGATTATCATTATCAGCAATACCCATTTTTGTCTGGATCATAATCTATACATATTGGATACAATGAAAAATTAAGAAGTTACAGACCATTTTCGATGTCCGTTTTATAACTTGAACAGTCCTTAAGTCAAGCTTTAATTGACTGTTTAATGCTTGTTCGATAAAAGCAAACTGTTTTTCTGTGCTATCATATTTGGTTTTGGCACTGTCTAATTTATTTAAAATTTCTAGTTTTATTAGAAAGTTATGCAGTCACAATGTTTGTGGTCCATTTTTGCTTTAGTTCTGTTCAAATAAAATTATGTATGGCAAACATTCGGATAATCTGAGAATACTATGCTTTTTTTTAATTCATGTATTGAAGAAGTAACTTTTCAACATTAGGCTGGTTCGTTATGAGTTTTATCTTTTCTATTTGGAGATTCTCCTGCCAACAAAAAGTTTATTTATGTGAATTATTTTTCCCATTATTGTTATGCATGCAGTCTAGGACTAGGATGCTTATTTATTATGATAACTCCATGGATTAATTTTGCCTAATTCATTTAATTTTTGATAGATAATTTTGTAACAGACGCTTATATTCAACAGTATGTATGCGCGAAGCACAAGACCTGAAGTATTATAATAATATGTGTTTGCAAAGAAGTCGACTTGATTTGCGGTCTTAGACAACAATGTACTGCATAATTTTCCCAATCCAAGTATCAGGTTTGTTTAAAAAAAAATATTTTTTTTATTTTTGACGATTTAATGAACAGTTAAGGTTTGTTTCCGATACATTTTCCCATACACATTTAAATTTAAAAATTCTCCAGCAAATCCAGATCGAAACCAAATTCGTTCAAAATTGGGGCAGTTATTGGGGACCTCGATACAGATCGAAAGAGCAGGGGGTTGTGATCCGCAAATACAAACATGACCCACCCTAATGTATATATTGATATAAGCCAGGCTCTATTATTTTGAGTATTTGTTTGGTATGCCAGGTGGCGATTATAGAACTTTTTTTTAAACTAGGTAGACATTCGTGAAATAAAATAAATATGCATTGCAGTCACATATATTTATGTGCAATTTATTTTGTGTGATAGATTTTTGTTAGTACGTCAAGTGAAACATCTGCTACTTATTACCTAAAAAAATGATCTACTCTACACTACAAGTGATATAGTCACACATTCCCAAAATAATAATAAAATAAAAACTAACTACGTTGTCCGTTTAATACTGTACACTCGCTCACCTGTTGGATTGTTCTTAGGATTGCTGCTAATATTGTTACCAGTTGTGGGTTGCTGCTGTTCGCGCAATGGACTTTTAGCAGACATTGACGATATCAGTGGCGAGTGGAGCTGCTAACAAAATTTAATTTTAAGAATAGTACCAATAATATGTAGAAAAGTTAAAGAACATACCACACCACTGCTTTCGTTACCATTGTGGATGGTCGCGTTGTTCGTTGGCATGGAGGGATTCACACATGTGTCGGGTGGAATGCTATTTATGCTAGAACTAGAACTACTTCGTGACTCAGCAGTAACTTTTGCCTGTAGGGATGTTCCAAAGGAGTAGAGGTTAGTTATCTCTGAATAAAGGATTAATAAGGTCTCACATACCTGCTTTGCTGAATTTTCGATACTCTCAATAAGACTCTTAACGGACAATCGCGAATCCTGCCGCTGAATTGCGGATTTCTGCTGCCGTCGCACAGCCATTTCCTGCTGCACTGTGTTGAATATCGATTGGTGTGACTCGGAAGATGCGACTACTGTAAGGTAGTAAAAAAATGATAATTTCGATTAATACAAATTACCACAACTAAAAATGCTGCCAGAATAAGTACAGAAATAGGTAGCCAAGCAAACAAGTAGGAACAGAAACAGCAAACAGGTAACAAAGCATATCACAGGCAGTAAACTAAACTTACTACTCGGTTTAGTTCGGTTAGTCCAATTCTCTCCATTGTTATCGTTATTTGTGTGATGGGTATTAGATTTATTAAACACGAAAGATGTTCTCTTTAACTGATCCAATTTTGCATCATCATATACGTTGACATTTTCTGGATATTTTCGCGGTTTTGGTGTCACCTTATTTTGCTGTTCTTCTGCTGCATTGCTTTGCACCGGGCCGTCGGCAAGAATGAACTCGTTTGTAGTTTTATCGATGACATAGACAAGGGTTTTAGTCTTACTTGCTTTATTGTCGTCGGATGCAATATTTAATTCATCTATACTGTTCATCCTGGGTAGAGGTTTAGGTTTTTTACTGGCAGTATTGGCTAATTTCTCCGGTGTTGTATGACTGAACTCAGACAAATTGGCATATATGGATTCTGAATCATCTTCTTTCAAACTCAGATTACTCAGACTAGTGCTGCTCGATCTGTTGTAACGGAATTTTTTGAATTTTGACAAATTGGTTGTCTTAGTCATACCGTCAATATCGGGAAGAAGCAGGTCGTCGGAGCTTTTCGAGTGAAACAGAGGATCCAAAGCACCTTGTTTATCGTAACGGTCCGTTCGTAAATCTTGAATACTTTTTGATGCAAATAGCGGTACAGGTCTGACCAATCGGAAGCTATGTTGAGTCAGATTTTCATTACTTCTGGATATCGCAATAGGTCGAAAGATGGGTTCTGGGGAATCGTCTTCTAGGGTTTCAACAGTTTCGCTAGATGAATTAGAAGACGAGAAGTTGTGCATTTGTTCGCCGATGAGCGCAGGTGTTACTTCTCGAAATTTGTGATTTCTTGTAGGGTTATTGATTTCCTCGATTTCATATGAATATCGATTTCCATCTTTCAGAATAGGATCAATTTGTTCGGTTAGATCATCGTCGTCTAGAAAATGTACTGACATTTTTGGAGGCTTTGAAGTTGGTAGCGGAGGTATAAAATCAGCTGAACGATTTTTGTTTATTCCATGCCCTTGGTCTGGTGACCGATTGGGCAGTTCAGCAGTAGCCAAGTGCAAGCTATCAAATGCTGCTGCCGTAGCCGGCGAAAATGTTTTTAACTGTTTGCGTAATATTTTAACCTGGTTAGAAAACTCGTCTACATTGCGATCATATGTGTTAAGGTTATCGATAGAGGCAGATAAATCTTGCTTAATGTCGTTCAGTTTCTCATAGCTGAGTAACATACCATCACTCGTATCTACAATATCTACACCAATAGCTGTGAAAAATCATGCACAAATAAAAATTATACTAGCTAGAAACAATAAAGGGTGAAGAGTATACGTCTACATATTAAAAGTATTACAATGACGATGTAGAAATTAAATCTATCTACTAAACTTGTGCGAACAATTTATGTTGATATTGTACTGCCTATTTCATCTTATAAATACGGCAGTCCTCGGTTTTACTATTACTGTTTTTTGTCGTCACTGTGATACTTTTATCATAAATATTTAGTTGCAAATAATTTCTACAACCCAAAAGAAGAAACCATCAGGCATGCAATAACTAGAGTTAACTTACGTTTGTTGAGTTTCTCTATTTGCTGTTCCATTACACGGATTCGCTCGCGGAGTGCCTTGTTATCAAGGGCTAGCTGCTCTCGAGCATTGTGTGCCTCGGTTTTGAAATCGTTGGCCACTCGTACCGTCATCAGTAAATCCGACTGAAACCGGTCCCATTCTTCGCTCTCCTGTCTCCTTAAACTAATCTCTTGGTTTAATTCATCAGTCTTTTCTGCAAGCAGTCGTTCTGTGTCACCCAAATGGCGCTGAGTTTCCGATAGAAGCGCTTCCAGTTGAGCCTTGTCTTCGGTAAGGCATTTATTTTGAACCTAAGCAAGCGAAACAACGTTGTAAGAACTGATTATGATGATTTTTGCTGTCGAAAATAAAACTCACCTGTAATTCGCTGATGTTCTCCTGAAGTTGCTGACAATCACTGGCAATTTTGACTTTTTCTTGCTTCATGTTTTCGTGCTTGTACTCAAGATCCGAGATCACACATTTGGCATTGTTTCTAACCACCTTGCATTCTTCGCTCATTCGTGCCAATTGGTCTTTCAGTTTTTGAATCTCGCACTGACTAATGGAGACTTGCTCCTGAAGTGATGCCACCTGAATTTCCAGTGCATCCTTTTCCTTTCTCGCTGTATCCAAAAGCTCTCCCAGATCCGATTTATCACCCAAGGCGCGATCTTGTTCCAACTCTTCGATCTTTGCCCGCGCATTCTCAAGCAATGTCGTCAGTCGACTTATTTCTATCTGTTTTACCGAACTGTCTTCCTTAGACTGTAATAGCTGCGTATCAATTTCCGTTCTCTCTGCATTGGTTGCGTCAATTGTCGACTCAAGGACTCCGATTCGCTCGTGCAGTCTTAATTTCTCGTTAGTTCTTTCTTCCAAGGCCACTTTAAGTTCATTCAGCTCAGAGTTTAATTCTTCTTGTTTCAGCATAAGGCTTTCTCTTTCCTCTTGAGCATTCTTCAGCAGTTCCACTAATTTCTGTTCTCGTTCCGTTGATCCGCCATCCTGTTGATTGGGTTCTCGCAATAGCAACTTTTGCAAAGTGCCAATTTGCGTTCGAGAGTCTTCTAGTTTCTCAGTTTGCCTGCAAAGGGATTGGAAAATGACGTCCTTTTCCTCTGCCAACCGTTCGTTGTCGGTTTGAAGCTCATTAATTTGTGATTGCAAGTCGGCAAGCTCCTGCAGTGTAGCCTGGAGTTCTTCATTGGTGGAATAATGGGTTTCTTCCATCTGTTAGTAGAATCGTGAAATATATTGGTATGTGCAATTTGGATTGAGAATAGTAAACGTACCTCTGTATTCAATAGCTAAATGAGGAGAACTTATTCATACTCAATATTTATATTTTTCTAGAAACGGGCGATTACCAACTAAATAAAATTGCTTGATACACTTTTTCTAATGTCAAATAATTTTGAGAACTTTTTAGTGCCACCTAAGCTATGGTTCTATCAATGTTTTAGATCGACAGGATATTTTATGATTAAGTTGGAGCCGGATATCTTAATTTATTTGAATTTGAAAGTGTACAGATGCTTTGGAAAACTTTATAAAAATGTCTACGTAGTAACATTAGGGTGACTAAATCGAATCTGTTAGAGACAAGGTTGCAAATACTCATTTCAGCTAAAATAATGTTTTTCGGAATAATAAAACCAAAAGATGGTATGATGGCATGTTTTACTTGTAACTTACAAGAAGAGGTTACAAAGTATGCGTTTGAAACATAAAACCTGTAAATTTTGCTTTCTATGAGTCACAATCAGCGATTTTCTGATCACTGAGTGAGTGAGTGAGTGAGTGAGAGAGTGTGTGAAAAATCGCTGATTGTGACTCTCATGAAGTGAAATAAACAGGTTTAATATGTCAAACACATTCTTTGCAACCTCTTCTTGTATCCTACCAATTCAAAATATGATCATGGCATCTAATTATTTCATAATTAAAAAAAATGTTGTTTTAGCTGAAATGAGTATTTGCAACCTTGGTTAAAGATAACGAGCAGGGTTGGCTCCACTCACTTCGTTGTAATAAATGGTTTTCATAATTATGAAATCTTTATAGTTATGCGATTTTATGATTGGTGAGTGAACGCTTACGAATAATGTAACTCCTGATTATGACACTCTGAAAGCGAAATTGACAGGTTTTATGTGTAACACACATACCTTTCAACCGCTTCTAAAAATTTACAAGTACAAAATATCATTATAGCAGCTAATGATTCCATCATTCAGAAAACAACATTTTTTGTAACGAAGTGAGTGGAAGCAACCTTGCTAACGAACCATAATTAAACTCTGAGCAGTACTCAAATCTATATGTTTGAATGTTTCTTCTGTCAACGTAAGATTGAAGAATAGAGTGTTCCGTTTAACGGGTAAGATCTACTGACCTTTGGTTTTATCCTCTTCTTATGCTTCTTATGTTCAAATTAGCGTGCATAGCCTGAACGTCTGAACATAGCATTAGGACCAGGACTCCGATCGATTGTCAATAGTGATCTCTGAATGCTGAAGTGTGAGTGTAGTAAAGTGAGTTGATCATAATGCTTGGTCCAGTTAGAATCTGGATACAGATTTTGTTTATAACAGCGGTTCTGGAATGTTTTGACAACTAGTATTTCGAGGTTCTAAAATATTAGATGATTTATATTAATATTTCGCTAAAAGTTCTTGTCTAATATCCTAATGATTCCATACCATTCGAAAGGGAAAAATCAGGGTTTTCATTTGGCACGTTTAGAACTTTTGGCGACCATATTGAAATTAGCCGCCATATTAGATTGTTTAAGGAATAAGTTTTTCATAAGCTTACCTTATTAATTTAAAAACTAAGCATGTCATTTGAAACTGAGACCTTTTCCTATAAGATAAATAACAAATTATGATTGAGAAATTTGTTCAACGTAACGAACCAGAATAAAAAGAAAGAAGAGGTAATATGGTCTGTTTCTTTACGAAAAACGAAGTGCTCTATCATAATTTGATATGTATTTTAGTCTCAGCTTTAAAATGACGCGTTTAGTTTTTAAATTGGTGGGTAGTAAACTTTTGAACAACTCGTGTTTTCGAAAAATCCAGTTAGGCGGCTAAATAAATATGGCCGAAAAAAATGCTCAATATGCCAAATGCCCTTCTTCTTCTTCTTCTTCGCATTTCAAGCTTATTGCTTTTCGCATATTAGCTTATTGCGTGCTCTCAACTTAGTGTTCTAGATGCACTTCCACAGTTATTAATTGAGAGCTTCCGATGTCAGTACCAATGCATGAATTTGCATATTGTGTGACAAGTACAATGATACACTATGCCCAGGGAAGTCGAGAAAATTTCCAACCCGAAAGATTCCTTCGACTGGACCGGGAATCGAACCCGCCGCCTCCGGCTTGGTAATACCGTGCCTTTACCGACTAGGCTATCTGAGGCCCCACAAATGCCCTGGCGTTTCCCTTTCAAATGGCATGCAGACATTAAGGTGTTTTGCAAGCATTTTTAAATATATATTAATTTAAATCATCCAAGAATCTGTACAAAAAAGATCTTTTTCTTAAACTGTTCGAGCATCCAGTTAACGAGGGGTTCAGCGATTCAAAATACTACAGAGCGATTTTTCAATATTCACAAATTGAGCTTCGAATAAATACAATAGAAATGATTTTTAAGAACCTCGAACAAAAGAGCCCAGTTTGTAACAAACTGTCTGCTGGGGTTAACCAGCAGCGTAAGCAACATATGAAATATATCATATCATCAAATATATCAAAGAAAGTTCGCTATTTTATCAGAAACCCGTCGTAATAATGGTGTGATATTTATGTATGACAAGTCCAATAAAAAAAAAGCTTCATTTTGACTACTTTACAATTTTCTTACGTCAAACCAATCCCGGTATAGAGCTGAATTATTACTTTCAGATTCTAACCGGACCACACATTATATGAAAAGGATTCAGCTTACTAGCACTAGCTTACTGATCTAGGGTGACAGTGACATTGTAATAAATATATTTTTATCATTCAGAATAATTTATAAAATGTTTGTTTATTTGTGTCTTTTTGGTTATAAATATGTAGGTTACAATCAATCACACTGTTTGCATACTTATCATTTATTGGAGATACAAACGCTTAAGTCATTTTTTGGTTAAAATACACTAGTATTTTCTGTTTTACACAATAAGATGCGTTATTTTGACCAGAAATTAGATGTCAAACTACGGTTGGAATGAGGTACGCTACACAATTATTTGGTTCGTCAGAACGCTGGCAAAAAAAAAGTATCTTTGTTGTTTTTATCTGCTACTCTTAACTAAACTTAAGCGCTGAGGCTTTGTAGCTAGCGTACATCTACGCGATTGTCAGGCGGAGGGGAACGACACCACCGTGACGTAACTATTCCCAAACTAATCAACAGTAATGTGAGCGATGATAATCCTAGTATGATTCCGGTTGTCACATCGTGCAGTGGCGTTCCCGGAAACGGGTGGAGCGTCATCAGGATCAGCTGAGCACAGCAATTCAACAGCGAAAACACAGTCACTAGGATGTAACCTAATTAATGAAAATAATCCCATTGCAAATCCGAGGCTATGTATCATGCAACTTTGCTGTGATGAGAAACCTAGAGTAATATTCGTTACTAGATAACCATGTTGATTTGTGCAAGATATTTGAAATTTCACAAAACATTCGCGAACGAAAGGTACTTTTTTGCTTTTTATAAGATTCGCATCTTACTTCAGCCTTTCTTTGACAATTGTAAAACATAATTTCAATTGTTTATGGGGGTGAACATTTATTTACAATAAGTTGTCATAAAAAAAAAAAAAAATATTATATTCAAAAAGTCCCTTTCAGCTAGTGAACGTTTAGTGTACTTGCTCGGAGACTTGGTTACGCCCTTGTTATTTTACTGGGGAAAATGACAACTCCATCTAGAGAACTTCCTTCTGCATTATTGTATGTTATATTTTGTATGGCGGATCTATCTTATAACCGTTTCGAGCCCCACACGCACATTTGTGTTGCTATTGTTTCGAAAACAGCTTCTGCGTTATTTAAAAATGATAAACAAGTAGAGCAATAGGCAGCAGTTTCTCACAAAAAAAAAATGGAATGTACATCAAATGTAATAGTGGATGTTTTTTACGAGAAATGTAATAGCAGTTCTTACAGCGGACTATAACGTACAAGTAAGTTCATCCAAAATGAATTTATTTCGTACAAAACCTTCATAAGATGAATATCTAGCCCCAGTGCATTCAAGAAAACCAACTTTATTCAAAAATATAGTAAACATAAATTTTACAAAATTACTTAACCGTTATGTGCGTGACGGAATACCCAGTTCCCATTTAAATAACACGGTGTTTAAAAATCTTTTCTGTGCTTCTTTCAATTTGAATTACTCTAAAGTCAACTGATTTGCTTTGAAATTCAGGAGATTTTCAAAAAGTTCACTAAACTCTTATGGAGTTCTCTGAACTTTACATAGAACTTTTGAAAGCATATGGGGAGAGCTCGCTTATTTAAAGCACAGATAAACCGAATTCCGACCCAGAGTGACCCCAACAGACACCGGAATAACTCCGGAACCATGTATTGATCTATTTTTTTTTCCTGACGGATTCAAAAAGTTGAAGATTTCCGACAAAATGCAACTTTTTGTGCAGAAAAAGATTAAGAAATTATGTTTTGAGCTAATTCAATTTAAAAACTTATGCAAATTTAGACGCAGCAAAGGATACAAAATACTCTGGGGAAACCACAATGCAAAACAAACTTTTTTTAGATTTATGGGAGCACTTGTGGCTCAGAGGTTTTAGTGGGATTAAACTGAAGAAGATCAAAACAATTTAATGCTTGAGAGTTTTCCAACTTGCAAAATAAAATCGATTGAGTTCGCTGCACCCACTTTTTGGCAGGTAATTAATGTTTTTGGAAACCAACATAAATACCTACATCAATTTGTCTAGATTTTCACACCACAATGTTTAACTGAATTTAGCTACATGGTTTCTTAGTTTTTATTGTTGTTTTGAGATGCAAAAATGTGTTTTGAAGAAAGTGCTAGATAGTATTTTAAAAGTTTTTTTAATAGTTAATCATTTGAATTCTCAAGAATAGATATGTAAGAGAATAATGATTTCACGGAGAAACTGAAATAATCACTCACTATTTAATGGTAGATTGACAAACATCAGGACCAAAAAGTTGTAGATCGCCATGGGAAGGAACGGGTTAGCTTCAACCTGATTCGCTTTTTACGACGGGGCAAATTTTAACAGTCAGCTGCTGATTTCAAGTTATCGATAATAGAACAGCTGTCGGACGCAGAGATAATCTTCATCATTTGCGTATCATCATCCAACAATTGCGGACGCTCATTGTTCACAAAAGCACTTCCGTCTATTTGAAAATTTGGTACTTTAAATGATTGGAATGAAGTCTACAAATACCTAACTAAAATTGAACCTTTGTCGAATTCAGACTTAGCGGATCCCGTCAAATCCGTGTCAAACACAAAATCTGAGATACAAATGGCATAGCATAGCATATGTGATTGCACAAATCCGTTGGGGTTGGGGTCAACCAATACATTTTGCAGAAAATATCGTGTGTTGTCGTGAAAAAAAACAGTGGTTTTTCACACACATCAACATTTGCAAAACAAGCATCACATTATACACCTGGCCACATCCTTACAATCGCAGAGGATAGAAAGGAAAATTAGTCCAACATTTACTTAAAAAGGTGCAGGAAATCCAAACTACCTTCATAGATGTCTCGGGAGGGAATGTTTGTGTTAATAGGGAGTGGGTTATATTAAGGAATCTCTAATCGGCAATATAAAGTAAAAATTATGTGAAAATGACACAAAATCTGAAAATCTGAGATAAAAATCCGCAAAAATTGAGAAATTTGTGAATTCAGCGTAGTTGTAAAAACCCTCTAAGGTTGATTTAAATGTCTGGCATTTACCTACACGCAAATGTACATTACAAATATTTTAAGATAAGACTTCATATTCATATAACCATTCACATATGTTTGTATCTAGAATCAATTAATATCCATTTTTCCTGAATGTATTCGATTTGCCTCAGCGCATTCTCATTTCTTGATGAACATTCCAATAGGTCCTAACTGCTTTGATCAATTCACTTTATCGAGTTTCTCTTTTGTTAATCACAGCTATGAAAACAGATTTCGAACTATTTTTTCCACATAGTTTGATAAAGGAGGTTCTTATCTAGCGTCCTCAACGTTAAACACAACAGGGAATGTTTTTTCATCTGAGTTATTACCGAAAAAGACAGTCGATTAAGAGAATCGATCAAAGCAGATAGGACTTTTTGAAATGTTCATCTAGATTTTTTTGGAAATTCAACTTTAGAAACTAAAATTTTCAGCAATAACACATTTGAAACTTTCGAATCTTGGACGAGGGGCATCCAATTACAATTTCAAATCATGCAGTCGAACATACTGTAGGCTTCTCATACCTGCCGTGGGGGACACAACGCTTCAGCACACTTACCTGAAATATAATTCCTATTCGGTAGCCAATCACACCGGCGGGACTTGAATCCGAGAATCCCCAGTGCAATCGCAGCGAATCCAGCAAAAATCGATACATCTAGGTAATATTCCCGTCCGACTTTGGATGTGAAATACAAACTGAGTCCGGAATTCATAAATCCACACAAGATTAGCATCAACGAAACGGCTCCGACAGTGGCCGAGGCATGAGCAATTTTATGAAAACTTGCATTCTGCCAGGACTTGTCGATGTGATCGGATGAGGTTGTAGTTTCACCATAAATACTATTACCGGCACCGTTTACATTCAGTCGAGGCGTAATAACAGCTGTCGTCCTGGCAGCTGCCTCCAATTGCTGTTGTTGCTGCTTTTGAGTTAATTCGACGCGTGCCTGATGCATGGAATAAGTTGTTTGCTGTTGCATTTGATGATCGTATTGCAGCTTTTGTGGCTTAAATTCATTACGCTTCGGTGTGCTAGAGACAATTTTTGGAATCATATCGTGTCGTTGGGGGGAATTTTTTGGTGTGAAATCTTGTCGCTTTGGTGTGCTCAGGAGTTCGTGAAGCATTTGCGTTGCTAGTGGATTTCTTTTGGGTGGTGTAGTTGTGGATGTTACAGTTGTTGAAGCCATTGGAGACGTTAGATTTCGACGTGATTTTCTAATACTCTCACGCATGTAATCTTTTTGAGGAAGTGGTGGCGGTGGCGGTTTCTGGATATCTTCTTCCATTTCTTCGTTGAGACACGTTTCGTCATCTTCTGTGGGAATTACCGCGTAACGATGGGCTCTTCCGTTGTGCATTTGGATAATTTCGTGGTTTGGATCTACGAGTTCTTCATTATCTTCGGTTGGAACCACTTCGTATCTTTGGTTACTTTTCTGATCGTACAATATGAATGATTTGCTGCCAAAGTCGGAAGAAAAGGCATTTTGAAGACGATTTTGTGTAGTCAGTTTTGGTGGTGAAGATAGCGGTGGTAGGCTACAGAACTGATCAGACAGATTTACTGTTTCTTCATTTAATTCTGACGTGCTTGAAAATCGATCCAAATTGTCTTGGCTTTTCACAATTCTAGTGGTGGACGCTTTTATTATAGATTGGTCGATTGGTAGCACGGCATATCTTCCTTTGTCGTTCGTTGGTATTTCTTCAACCGGAACCAAAGCGTAGCGTCCACTTTTAGGCTGTTTATTGCCCATTGAACTATCCAACGCCGATGCAACGGATCCATATCGCGTTCCCGATATTGATGAGTTTGAAGAGTACTGATCGATAGAACGAGCACCACCTGGCTTAGGTCCCGGCATTGGTGGCAATGCGTTATTTCTTTCTGATCCATGGCATGCAAAAGAGTTTTGCCTTACTATCGATGAGCTAATCCGGTTGTAAGAGCGCGTTAATTCATTTCTTTGGATTTTTGCTGGCGAATTATAAGCACTTCTTGATCCATCTTGGATTTGCTTCGTCGGAAAGAACTCACTTTGTTGACAAAACGCCGGATTTGTATAATTATGACGCGACATCACTTTTCAATCCGCGAGCACAATCATTAACACGAACAGTAAGTATATCAGTACTACTAAAAGCATCGATATAACTTCTAATAACTCTAGTTTCGAGACGATCTACGATGCACACTAGTCGATGTCTCGAATGCATCTGCGCAACCGTTTCAAACTGAAAATTCAGTCTCCCCCAGACAAATTTTGCGCACAAACACTACAACTATAACGATAGTAACCTTTTCTTCCTCTTTTGACGAGGGGGAAAAGTCCGTTAAAATTCGTCGCTTATGTAGAAAAAAGACACACGGGCGGTTGTTATAAAAGGGAACACATTGCGCGCGCGAGCATAGCACGAGTCACTTAATATTATAAGCAAGGTAAAAGGACGGAAGAACGGAAAACGGAATACGATAAACAGGACAGGATAACGAAGGGTGAAGGGTCTGAGGATGTGTATACATTCATCTGGAAACTCGGCAAAAGGAGACCGAAATGAAAAAGGACACACATTTATAAATCATATATTTAAAGCAACATATCTTTACGGTTTATCTGTGAAGCATGATAACGAATCGAAGTGAAAGAAACACATTTTTTGTGGCACGCGCCACGTAACGAATAGATATTACATGTATGCAAAACTGAATATTTGGATACAGATTTAATTCTACCACGGTTTGACTATATTTTAAGATAAGGCAATGAAAGATTCTCTCTTTCTCCGATTTCCCCGTCTTCGAATTACATCAGCGCACCGTTTAACGTGGCTTCAATATCGCACTATCCAAACAGTGCAGTTTTTACGGGGAAGCTTACCGCTCTAAAGTGGGACGAAATAAAAAATGGAACATGGCTATTTGCAACGAAACTATTGAGTTAGCATTTTGATATCTTCTAAAATGTTCCTTCATTTTTCGAGTGCTTTATTTGAGTAGTGACAATTTTTGATTAAGGAGTGGGGAACATTGTAGATGAAGTCATTTTTTACCTCTCAATTGAACGAAGTTATAGGGTGAAAATGGACTTTAAACTTTATTGATGAGATTTTTAGCCATGGCTAGTTCATCTCCGTGGAGTTCAAACGATCGTACCCCATTAAAAAGTGTTTTTTCTATGACTTTTTTGTCCGAATTTTAATTTGTTCTTTTTTTCAATGTTCTACAAACTTGTAAGTGTTTTAAAAATGCACATTTTTGCAGAAGAGAACAAATCGGTATCACTTCGTTTTAAGGATTTACGTCCTATTTCATATTTTTTATAACTATTTTAAATTAGGTGTATCTTACAGGTTACCAGGTAGGGGTAAGAGGGGCATAGTGAACAGGTGGGGCATTGTGAGCATCCCGTGCACCAGCTTGGACTTCCGGCCGTTCGGAACAAATTTATTGGTGGTAGGTTCAAGATCATAATGATATTGAACCTACTACCAGTTGATTTGTTTCATGCAGTTAGAGATCCAGGGTCAAACTGCGGGATGCTCACTATGCCCCTCCTCCCCCTATTAGCAGCTAATATCAACGTCATTTCATTCAGCAACTTATACCCTACTGTTACATATACAATTCATAGGAGAAAATTGAAAAAAATCGGTCAAAAAAGTTTATGTCAAAAAATACTTTTTAATTTACCGTTTGTACATAAAAAAGTTATTTTTTTTATCTGAGCACCCCCCTTAAAGTTTCACTACTGAAATAAAGTACTCAAAAAATGAAGAAAAAGCTACACTCAATAACTAAACTAGTTTCGTTACAAATAACCAAGTCCCACTGTGCGCCATGGTAACAAGTTAGACTCAAAATCGCAAAAAATTACCATTTGGTTGTTTATGCGTTCGACTTTATTTCATAAAGCGATAGAACAATTATTTCTACATGTTAATTTTCTTAGACATCTAAGGAAAAACATATTTTAATATCTTTTACCAATTTCTTTAGAAAAATCAAACCGAGCCAGAATATTTTATTTAAGCGGTGAGCTTTCCTTTACTCATGTCGCAGGCCAACAACAACAAAAAGTGTGGAAAATTTGTGCAGTCCAGTGATGTGTTACACTGATAAAAAATAGTGTAGTATAATGCGTATCATTTATATGTGTTCACTTGCATCATGTATAGGAACATTTCTAGAAGAATTCGGAGGACTTTATGGTTAACTTCACCTTCCAATGAGAAGGGGGTAGAGTGCTACTTCGTCGTAATCGCCGTAAGGCGCGGGTTGTGCTTAGTAGGACGGAAATTAGATCAAAACCCCTACCTGTAAATTTTCTACCTTCTTCGACTATTATTCCTCTTCCATCCTTGTTTGGACCCAGGTAATCCTGATTGGATATCGAATTGAAAAAATCCTCTTTAATCTTTCAGATTCTTATAGTAATCTGCTTGGAAGTCGATTTGGATAAAAGTTTTACTGCCGCCATGGCGCCTAAGCGCAAAAGAAAAGGGAAATCTCTTGATCCCCCTTCTGATGAAATTAGTTTGAGTAATCAATTTGATTTGCTCACGGATGGATTCATCATCCAGGAAAAATTCTAGTAAACTTTCCCTATTGTGATAACCACTATCGATTTCCATGCTCTTCGCAAGGAACTTTTGAACTTTTTTAACAGATGTTTCCATTTGGCATACTTTCCTGATAAATGGAAAAATACAAAAATTGTTCCAATTTTAAAGCACATTGGCGTCATGTAGTGAGAGAACGTTTAGCTAAATTGTCAACTAAAGAAGGCCATAGCCTCCAAAACAAACTTCACACACGGCCAAGGCAAATTTACCCCTTTCTAGATGGACAGGATTTTGAGATACAACATAACATGTTCAGGAAGTTTAAACGTTCACTACCGCCACGTACTGTGGGAATACCAAGCTCTACCAACATCCAGAAAGCCTTGATTTCACGAACAAATTTGTCGAAGACAGCATCTTTCTAGATGGTCTGGATTTCAAGATATTACATTTACATTTACAGAATAGATTTCCTGCAAAACGATAGAGCACTGGCGAACCAAATTTTTAGCGATGAAAGCACCTCTGTGGCCAAAAAGACTACCAATGTATTTGTTTAACGTCACGAGGGGTGAACCAAATGAAAATTTGTTTAATATTTCAAATGGATGTAATTCAACATATTATTTTATTTGATGACAACAGTGATATGTCAGACAAATTTTAAAGTAATATACACAATGTAATTAATGAAAATAATGTGACTCTTACTTTTGTAATAAGTGCTATATTCGCACCCCTCGATTGTAATTGAATGATTGTTGCTGACCTTTTTCAACGCTAGATGGTGCGTGAAGCAATATTTTGCGGGTCGCCATTGTAATATTCGGAAAAGGCATGAATGTATCATATTGTTAATATGATAGGGGAAATGTAGGTAATGTCAGCCTACATGTCCCTAATTTGGGCCCATCGCTAAATGTCTGCTATTTATAAATTTTATCTAGATGAACGCGTCATTAGGACGGTACTAATGGATATTTTTGGTCGCTATTGAAAATTTAGTCGATTGATGAAATTCTGTATGGGCCCAAATTAGAGACATGTAGGCCGACATTACCTACATTTCCCCTATATTTGGTTTTCCCCAAACCCAGTCATCATAAACGAATACCACTTGGTTGCACATTAATCTGCTTGAACCTGAAAAGATATAAAACAGCGCTGCTTTCCTGCCTCTTCTTATTACCGCTTCGGACGGCGTGGCATCAAAATGACAGCAAATTGAATTCAAGTTTTGATATCAACATCAAACTGAAATCATAATTTGATTTCAGGTTACGCAATTGAGCAGTTCCACATAGATTCTCAAATCGTTTCGGATCGACCTTTTACGATTATGATGAACCTTTGCACAGTTGTTTGTTATTGCCTAACATGCCATTTTACATATATGGTTCCCTAGTTTGCACCCGACTAACACTTGAAAAGTGCTTCTGCAAAAATGATACGCATCAATAGAAAAATATATATCTCGTAAACGATTTGTTTGATCGAGATGGTGTCTTAGAAGAAGTTGCGGACAAGTATTGTGCCTTCCAAGAAAAAATATACACTGTAAAAAGTTATATTTTTTTTTACAAAAAAATTAAAATTATAAAAAAATTAAAATTACTCAAATTGCATATTTTTTTAAATTATTTTTTTATATTTATTGTGTAGTTTAGATAAAGTAATACCTACTGACATTGTGCATTTGTTGGGCAAATGATAAACAAAAAAGTTATGAATTGTTGAAAAAATAAGTATTTTCCAAAATACTACCAATAGTTATCGAATATCTTTAAAATAGTGTTAATATTAAAACACATTAAATTTACAACAAAAAAGCTCATAATACCGAGTCGACCGAGGCACACCAGCTACGAGGTTATTGACCCAATAGGCGTTGGGTCAAACAATTGATCCTCTCCAGTCTGCTGTCGCCTCAGTGTAGAAGGTATATCGTGTCGCTGTTGTTTTGTTTTCGTTAGTATGGCATCTCCCTTATTTCCTGGTCCAACATTAGGCTGTTGCATAATTAATATATACATTTTAATTTTTTTATTTTATTTTATTTTCTTGAGTTTCTTTTTTTTTAGTATTAATCTTTAGTAGAGTGAAACTATTTTTTTTTCATTTTTTTTACATGCATTTATTATTATTATTTGTTTCTTTTTATTTTGATATTATTTGAAATTACTGTAATTATTTGTAAAATATTTACCAAAACACCATTGCGGCGATATTTAACCGCATTGGATGAAAATGATAAAGGCGGGGGATGGTCGCTTTCCACCTCAGACGACGAAACTTTTAAGTCTCTCTCACACGAAAGTCTCCACTTGTTGAAATGGATACCCTTTACGTTCCAGTTGACTCGCTATTCAGCCTAATAATACATTGCAACTGTTGGAGTGAAATGTAACTATCTAAAATGACAGTACACATTCCCTCCTAGACTCCGGTTGGCACTCCACTCCATTGTCCAGTTACAACTTCAATGATGCCCTGATGCTCCCTCCCGTCCCAGTATTTATTGTAATTTACATTATAAATTTATATATAATCATGTGATATATAATGTATATAAAATATGTAGTAAAATGAAAAATATAATAAAAAATAAAGATGTTTTACAAAATAC